TCTGAACATCTGGAGAGAACTGGCTCGTAAACAGCAGCCTGACCTAAGGCTGAACCATTGAGTGGGTACTGGATGCAGTCCCGGGAAGTAAAGGCGGTCTAGCCCTAAATATATATGCCTAAAGGCGTGGAAAAAGGACCTTTACTTTTACTTTATTTTTTTGGTGTAGAGATAAGAGAAATGTCAACGTACACACTACACACACTGGACTCGGGTTACTTCATCCACAAGAGAGGGGGTGTGTGGTGTATATGTGTGGGTGTGTGTTAATGACCGCAGACTGAAATCAATTATTTTCGCACTTCGATTAAATTTGTGTATCACGTCATGTTTTAAGCGCCGTGTAACCGTTAGTTTAGAATATCACCGCTATAGACCGTTGTTTTGGTAATTGATCTTAGCTATAATAGTGTTAACTATTGAAGATTGTGAATAAAACTAAAGTGGGACATATATCCAAAGTAAGACACGCAGTTCGCCCGGCCCTCTAGCGAAGTTGGTTAAACCTGACTTTCGCGGCGGCCGGGTGACGAACTCCTTGTGGTCCGGGTTCACTCCCGTGGGTAGGCAGAAAAGCCACATTTCTCCCAGATTAACGGTACCTATAATGGAATCAAGGCCGAAGGGTTGCGATATCCATAGTACCGAGCCAAAGGGTTTACAACTCATGGTTTCTGGATACGTAAAAAAAAAAAAAAGAATGAACTCTACAGAAGGTGATTAGAGAAATAGGAACGGCAGTCTTCCAAATACAGTCATCAAACATACACCCTGTATGTGTATAGCTTCACGGTTCAGCGGGGTTTCCAGAATTTGTACATGTTATATTCTCATCCTTGAGATGTTAATCCTTCGGAATTCAAATCCGGAGGTGAAGCCACAGGTGTCAACAGTTATGAGACGATCCTTCCCCCCCCCCTCTATGGTGATGTATTGAGCACACACTGAACCAGATTCTGTTTTTCGGATGGACAGTTTATTTAAACAAACTCAAACATTTTACGGAAACGTAGTTTACGGATAGTCATACAAGAGTCAAAGAAAACACTGGGGGTTCACTATGAAATATTCCGTAAGACAGCGAGCGGTTGGAACATTGTAACCAACTTCAGTTCTGGAAACGGCACACATTTTTTAAGAAGCGGACACAGAATCACTTAACAGATACTGAAATGGAAACAAATAGCTTTAGCAGCTGATTGCATTCATGATGGTTTATTTGCCGAAAAAGAAAATGTTTTTTTGTTTTGTTTTGTTTGTTAAGTTGAAGATGTTTTTTTTTTTTTAATTTGTTTGTAAAATTATTGATTCTTTGTTTATTAAGTAAAGACTTATTTCAGACGAAGGGAGAACGTTCATGAAACTAATGAGTGGTCATTTGATATTTACAGTGTAACAAGGGCTGTACGCTGTACCTGGGAGCTGTACACACTAGCTGTCAACGAGTGTGTATATCCTCTTACCAAGAGGTAAGCATCTGTGTTTGTATTCTTCTTCTTCTTTTTCTTCTTCTTCTCCTCCTTCTTCTTTTTTTTTCTCCTCCTCCTCCTCTTTCTTCTACTTCCTCCTCCTCTTCCCCCTCTTCGCCTGTAAAAAAGCGGTTGGCACACCGTTATAGTTTACAGCTAGGCTGTAATATTTCCCCTTTTGGTCCAACACATCCGCTTTCAGCAAATCTGTAATTAGTCAAACATTATTGTTAAGGAGCATACTGTTTTCTTTGGCTGTGGTGGCCAAGGCGTCCATCGCGACCGACTAGCCGATCATCAAGCCATGATGTATAATTATGGATAATAATAATAATAATAAAAAAAATGATCACCTTTGAAGCGGATAGTCAGTGTCAGAAATAATGGAAAGTGCATAAGAAGGCTGTGAACATAGATATGGCCACCAACGCCGTACGGCATGGGCTGTAAGAAGTACTGTATGCTCAAGAAGTACTGTATGCTCAAGAAGTACTGTAAGTCTCAAATGGGATCCAGTCCTTACCTACACAGTACGGCACCAGGCTGGTCTAGTCGTCACATACGCGCCCACTTATATCTTTAGAGGTTGAACAGGTTTTTAGGATTCAGTTTGTTGATTTGCCATTCAGATTGAGATTTCCCAACCTCAAGATATCAAAACACGAGGAAGCAGCACGGAAGGAAAAACAGAAGGAAGAAGATATGTCTCAAGATGCGTTAAAAGTAATTAATTTCACTATTGGCCCCTTGACACAACACTGTGAGTTCCCACCGTTATTAATGATCCTACGTCATTTAAAATGTAAACCTAATACTTAGCACCTTTCTGATATATGTGTTTAAAGCGTATCTATCAATATGTCTTCTTCAGGAGTTCTGCTCGCTGACGTGTACAATCATACCACCTTAACATCCATCCGCTAGTTCCCGCTACTGCTGTTTATCAGTTCGTGCAGGCGATACTTTGCCTTCCTGTGCCCGACAGGTTTCCGTATATCAGTTTCTCTTGTCTGCCTCTATCTTCTTTTTCATTAATCCTGCCTGTTGTAATATATTCCGGATTTTATCTGGGGGGAAAAAAATGTATATATAAGTCAAGAAACTTTTCCCTGACGACCAACTCTCAACGAGCCAAGGAATAGATGGGTGTTTAGTTTAATATGTCTTGTAGTTCTTGCCATGTGGAATTTTTGGTCATCACGGCCTTCTGTCTCATGTACTGGCAGTCATTTATGATCAAGAAGATTCTTCATGCCTTATCAAACTAATTCTCCTCGTATGGGTTCCGCGGCCCCATTGTGGGGGTAAACAAGAATAGACCAACCGCCTCCAAAACAAGCCTGTTGTAAGGGTCGATTAATGGTGGGAAGTCGGAGTACATCTGCCTGAGAGACAAGGAACCAATAGTCTGCATACAAATATATTAGATCTGTAAAACGGATGTGCAAGCACCACTCAGGTTCTGAAACAAGACTATATGCGCAGAGGTGTTGATGAACTACCAGAGCTTTCCGCCGGAATTACCAGCCTGTGAACTCAAAGAAGGAGAAACTGCCTACACCCCGCTCCCACCCTCACCTTTCACCCTGCAGCCAAGCTCTCCTTTTGTTACGACTTGCCCTAAAGAACGAGCACTGTCTCTCCTTTTGGCGCTTAACAGCACGAAGAGACTATGGTGTAGCATCTGCACGAAAATAAAGTAAAAATTTGGGTTCGTTTTACGTTTTCCACCCCAGAAAGAGAGTGACTTCTCTTCCCATTCATGGCACGTCGTGTCGCAGGGCCCGTCTAATGTTGACGGGGTGTCCCGATTAGTGAGCGTCCAGCAACCAGTAGTATTTTACTCGTTTTCAGCGGCCGGTGAAATCGCGTCTTCTGTATTCCACGACGTGAGCGCTTTTTACGACCCCATAGTGATTTTCTTACAGTCTGTCTGATGATTTCATTTCTCACTTTTTTTTCTGTCTTATGATTTCATTTCTTACTTTTTTTTAAATGTCTGACGATTTCATTTCTCACTTTTTTTTTCTGTCTGATGATTTCATTTCTTACTTTTTTTTTCTGGGAAGATTAAGGTGGCTCCTTTCTTCCTGCATTTTATTTCCTAGTTGTTAAGTTTGCGAAAGATAGCCATTGATGATGTGTCCAGTATGTCCACTGGTAGCACAGTGTTGGTACAATCATGCTGCTTATAATCTGACAAAGAAACAGAGCTTAAAGAAACGACATAATGAAGCTAGAATCTAAAAAAATAGCGGAACAAATTAGGTTATAAATGGAGGTTGGGGATAATAACGCCATTCATTACGTAGATAAGCGGGGTTAGCGTTGGACGCTTGTGTTCGTGAGTGAAGCCATACTGGCTTCGTCCGCGGAGAATAACCTTGATGAGGCTTAATGGACGCACATGAAAGATGGCACATTTTATCTCTCTGTTGACCTTTAACTAATTTCCAAATTATTTGAGTATAGATGGGTCTGTGGTTTGAGCTGCGCTGTTGTGCTTGTAGATTTAGGTCATGTGGCTGGGGAGAAAGGAGCGCCGGGATGACGTTTCGTGGAGCATGTGCAGAGAATTTACTGTTAACGTTTCAGTGAAGTTGCTTTTGTAAAAAGATGGAGAGAGGAAAAGGTATACGAATGAATGGCCAGGCTTCCAATTGTGCACGCACGCGCGCACACACACGCGCGCCCGCACACACACCGGAAAGTTTAATCTGCTGCCACTAGCTCCAAAACTAATGACAGACAACTAAAATCAGCTTCAAATAGACCAGTGACCTTCGTGGAGTTAAATGTCCAAGTACGATAGGCTTAAGGTGCTCCTCCAAAGATATTACCTCTTAAAAGAGCTCCGCGAGTCAAAATAGTTGGGAACCGCTGGCCTTTGCCATTACCGCGCGCGCGCGCGTGTGTGTGTGTGCGCGTGCGTGCGTGTGTGAAAAAAAAGGGGGGGGGGGGAAGGGTAGATAGGACCGATGAATTCTAGAAAATGCGGCAGTGCAGTCGCCACGAACAGTGCAGGTTAGGATTTTATTTTTGCCCCTGACAGAAAACAGTCTCCATCAGCTTACTTAGATTTAAATGAATTCGGTGGGAGGGGGGGGGGGGGGGGGGGGGGGGAAGAGGCAGAGAATGCTTAAACGAAGGAAGGAATTTATCTCTCTCTCTCTCCCCCTCTCTCTCTCCCCCCCCTCTCTCTCTCTCTCTCTCTCTCTCTCTCTCTCTCTCTCTCTTTCTCTCTATCTCTCCCTCTCTCTCAAAGGGTTTAGAATTAAGCACTAATGCTAGCCTAACAATCTGCGTGGTCTGGCCTCACTCCTTTCGGAAACATGGGCAGATAGATACACAAGAACACTTAGGTAAGATATACATAGACAGGCGAAAGATAGATAAACGTGTTTACAGGCGAAAGATAGATAAACGTATTTATTTAGTACAACTGTGTCATATAGTATTTCTTTGTTTTTGGTTCTGGGAAATTTTGTTTGCATGCATTATTAAGAAAACAAAAATGTGCACTATTTTCAGAGTGTAAACATCACTGGGCCCCAGAGCGTGAACAATGACGAGGTAAGAACTTTGACAAGACTCTTCTGTTCTGATCTATCTCCGATTAGCAAATAGCAAAAATAATGTAGAAAATACGCTCGTATGATTGACAGTAGTCAAACTATCATTAAGTAACTAACCACGGGTCGACGGTACGAGAATGGCACCCTGGAAGAGATTAGAAACGCACCACATCATTATTCAATTCTTTGCAGTGGGCACTGTAACCAACCCTTATTGCGGAGATGGTACACAAACATTAATAAAATGATTGAACACTACAAAAGCTATGAATAGACGGTTCATCGGAAGGAGAGGAAAATGTGCACAAATACGGCTGAACTTTTCGACAAACTTCTTCATCAACGGACAGCCATAGATTCAAGAAGGTTGCATAGAAACGGAAAGATGAAAAATAGGAAATACAAGTGGCAGGAAGGGGTGTTACGAAATTAAACAGGAAAGAAGGAAGATTTGACCTTCTAGCTATAGTTTGTGTTGTGCTTTTGTATGTATCTATTACTGGCATGCCGTGTAAAGACGTAACATTATTATAAAAGTAGCACTTTGATAAAAACCACACCGATGGGGGAAAAGTGGAGTGAGATACATATCAAAGGTTGTCGTCAAAATATGAACTAACTGCAGTCTCAGAGAGGGTACAGCCAGGACACCAGTCAAAGATAGTGATAGAGATCCACTGTAGACAAACTTCATTGTAGAAAGGACACCTAATTGGTTAATCATAATAATGTATTAATTTTCCCCAATCCTGTTTATTCTGTGAAATGTTGAAATTCATTGACTGCGTTGATAGAGCAGAGAATGGCCAATGACCTATATGGGGATTAAATAGATCAGGGAAACGAGGACGTCTAAAAGAAACCAGACAGTTCTGATCAGAGAGGCCAACGGTAATGGACTGAATTCCATCCTTGCAATTACACAGATTAGAATGGAAGAACAAACTGAACCATAAGCGGCGCGACCGGTCTATGATCCTTCTGTGGTTTAGCTACATTTGCCAGTTCACTTATAACTATCTTTACAGATTAAAAACTGTATCCAAGGCTGTATCTTTGCACTGGACGAGTACGCGGACAACGTGAAAGGTAATTATTTGGATTGTTTCGTGGTTGTGGTTATTGATGAGAGTTGTTTGTTTTCTAAATGTATCTCCCAGCAACAGTGATATAGAAGGTTAGTTGCGTATCCTTTACAGGACGTTGCAGAACCAACCCCAACAGCCCCTGGCTGTTGTGAGGTTTTTTCTAGGCAAATTACGTCCAGTAGTTTGCCATTGCTTCTGGACGTAAGGCGTATGGCCCGCAGCTGGGATCGAACCCGCATTACGAAGCGTTCGCATCGACTTAGCCGCAGAGCCGACAACAGTGATATAGTTGTAAGAATAATGATGGTGTAGAAGTCGTGCCTGCGATGGGGGTAACAATAGAATGAGAAATAAATACTATTCATAATAAAATATAATCCCCGTGTTGGCTCCGTGCAAGAGGCCGTCTTCAGTATCGACCTTGTTCCGTGACCTTATTTGGTGGTGGGAAAACAGATAGGGGATTGGAGGGTGGGGGTAAGAAGAGACCCACTGTCCCTTCACAAGCTTCTCGGAAATGGAGTCCAATGATGGGATGTCCTTTGAAATCAGAGGACATATCCCCGAGAGGTATACAGATAAGTCAGACTTGTAAATAGGATGTGCACCCAAAACTTAGATTGTGAAACAGGACCATAGTCCAGAACTGGACAAAGAACAAGAATTTTCTGCCCGAATTAACAGCCGGTGAGCTCGAAGAACCCCCCCCAAATTTTTTTTATTATAAGTATATATCATTGCTACTGTGGCCACTACTGCTGTTGTGCTGTTGCTTCTACTACTGCAAATAGCACAGCTCGAAGGAGACCAAAGCCAGAGGTGTATGAACAAATAGAACCTTTCGCTGGAGTTTACAACCGGTTAACGCTAAAAAAAAAACGCTACTAATCCTGCTGCTGCTACTACTTTTACTAATGCTGCTGCTACTACTACTACTACTACTACTACTACTACTACTACTACTACTACTACTACTACTACTACTACTACTACTACTACTACTACTACTACTACTACTACTACTACTACTACTACCACCACCACACCAACACAATTAATAATAGTACTGTTACAACTGATGCAGCTGCTACTGTCACTGCAGCAATAACACAAGAGTGCAACCACCTTTAAAACAATCTTCTTTTATCTCTTCCCCTCTACCAGAGGTGCTCGGCGTTCTACATAGACCCACACTGGTCATCTCATCACTGGGTCACTCGTCCTTGACCCTGGAATGGGGCACGCGGGTCATGGAAAATGTCACCTACAAGGTCCACAAGCGGCTAGTAGACATGGACAGCGGCTGGCATCTTCACGCCAACACCCACTTCTGGGTGGACGGCAGGATAGACTTGGCTGACCTCCACCCGTATGTCACATACAAGGTATGTTTGTGGGTGCCTGTTGAAGATTTTGTTGCCTGAGTCGTCATTAAACATCGTCATACTCATCATCGTCATTTAACATCGTCATACTCATCGTCATTTAACATCATCGTCATTTAACATCGTCAAACTTATCTCGTCATTGAACATCGCCATACTCATCGTCGTCATTGAACATCGTCATACTCATCATCGTCATTGAACATCATCGTCATTGAACATCGCCATACTCGTCATTGAACATTGTCATACTCATCATCGTCATTGAACACCATGGACATTAAACATCATTGTCATTGAACATCATCACACTCATCGTCGTCATTGAACATCGTCATACTCATCGTCGTCATTGAACATCGTCATACTCATTGTCGTCATTGAACATTGTCATACTTATTGTCGTCATTGAACATCGTCCTACTCATCATCGCCATTGAACATCGTCCTACTCATCATCGCTATTTAACATCATCATACTCATCATCGTCATTTAACATCGTCATACTCATCATCGTCATTTAACATCATCATACTCATCATCGTCATTTAACATCGTCATACTCGTGTCATGTCATCATGACCATGTGCCTTGCCCGTAAGCATAAACTGTCATGTTTCGCCATATCATACGATCACCAGAATCACGGATCAGTTCAATGTTTTTGTCTCACCCCGTCTATCTGGCCTGGCCATCCAGGTATTTATCTCTTTGCCTCCCTCTTGCTCTCTATCCACAAATTGTGCCAGTTGTTATCGCGTTCTCGAGTCACCATATCATCACAGTCACAATCGTTAGTCTCATCACCATCGTCAGTATCATCATCAGTAACATCTGCTTCTCATCATGATTATCATCAAAAGCAATACATCTTCGTCGTCGTCGTCGTCATCATCATCATCATCATCATCATCATCATCATCATCATCATCATCATCCATATCGTCAATAGCAACTTGTCCTCGTCATCTTCATTCATACTATTTAAATTTAGTAAAAACGTAGAATATTTACGATTTATGAAACAAAATATATATTCATTAGGATCGTCACCGCTGCTCCGGTAGTTCTCGCACTGTCATAGGAGTCACCTCATATAATGCATAAGGGGAGATTGAAGTACCCGTGCAGGGTTTTTAAGTGCATAAGTGTTCTTCTAAAACCTCTTACGAAAAAAGACTAACTGCATTCGAGTACATGATTTAAGCAACGTAGGAAAGAAAAAACAGATGTAATCGAAATCTATTAATAAAAATTTGTAGCGATCTGAAATTATTACTAGAGGTAAAAATCGGCGTAAATAACACTATAGAAAAAACAAAACACTATAATATATACGTTATATGGTACCCTTATATTTGGGTATGTTCACTGATAACGTTTGCACATTGCAGTTTAAAGTCTTGGCTCTGCTATCATCCTTGCCCGAACACATCCTTGAATCTCCAGAAACAGTTCATATAACTACATTACCGTTTGGAGGTAGGTGAAATGTGCTCCCTGTCTTTCGTTCTGCTTTGTTTTGTTCTCGTGAGCCAATAGTTTGGTACTTTAATGTTTTGTTTGGTACTTTCATGTTTTACGACCACATCTCGTCGGCTTCGAGATTCAATAAGGAATTCCTAAGGATCCCTAGGGGTTTCCCTGGACAGTACCATATAACCGGGAGAAGCTAGTATTAAATGAATAGCGACTTCTACTAAGCCTAACCTCACCCAAAATTCTTATACCACATTTCAGACCCGGGTTAGCGCAGTGGCTTCATCCTTGTCCGAAGATTTTGTGTTAAAATCCGCATTGAAACGGGCTTCTTGTTTCCCAGGTCGATTTAGCGTAAGCTGTGCACCAGGTAATGTGCTGGGAAGTACAGGCGACCGACCTGATGTAGACCACATGATCCACCCCGAGTAGATTGGTCCATACATATTTACCCGTGATCCACCCACCCAGAGTAGATTGGTCCATACATATTTACCCGTGATCCACCCACAGTAGATTGGTCCATACATTTTTACCCGTGATCCACCCAGAGTAGATTGGTCCATACGTTTTTACCCGTGACCCACCCAGAGTAGATTGGTCCATGCATTTTTACCCGCGATCCACCCAGAGTAGATTAATCCATACATATTTACCCGTGATCCACACAGATTAGATTGGTCCATACAGATTCATCCGTGATCCACCCACAGTAGATTGGTCTATACAGATTTACCCGTGATCCACCCAAAGTAGATATGTCCATACATTTTTACCCGTGATGCACCTAGAGTAGATTGGTCCATACAGATTCCCCCGTAAGTCCAGCTAAGTCTTTTTAAAAAAGTGGGGGGGTGGGGGGGTGGGAAGGACCATGCCTATACCCACCACTGATGTCTAAAACAAAATCTTCCAGTACTTACCACAAAGCATCTGATCCAGTGACGTTGAAAAAAAAAAAAAAAAACCAATAATGCCTGTTGGTTACCGTTGCGCACCACCAGGAAAAGAGCCCTTTCCCGGGGATCAAGCACTATGTACCCCCATGCACCAAAGGCTTGAAATAAATAATGAAAAACAAGTACCAGCTTGAATTGGAGCCGAGCCTTATTTGGGTACCACTGAGAAAGAAAGACAGCTAAAAAAGGAACTGACCACAACACCTCATAAGTCAATACCTAGAATATGCCAAAGCCTACCATCTCGCACCCCAAGATTATTTACTAAGGTATCGCGTTTTTACAAAGAAAAAGGTTGGCCGATCATGTTAAGGGCCAGTCTCCGATTGTGTGTGTGTGTGTGAGTGGGGACGACCACGCACACGCATCACCCATACATATCCATTCAGTACATACTCACACACAAGTATAATGAAAGTGTTACTGGAATTGTTTCAGCGCCCTCCACAGCGCCCCAGATAACATCTCTGACCACACCGTCGCCAAGAGTGATCTCTCTCACCTGGACCCCGCCACCTTTTACCAATGGCAAGGTTCTCAGTTACCGCATCTACGTGCAAGCTGTCAATCATCCACAACTCAACTTGACTACAATAGGTAAGTCAAAGGTCGTAGTACACAAGTGGTAAATGCCTGTTCGTTAGATGACGTCTTTTCGAGGCACGAACACAGTTTCATAAATCTGACAAATGGGTTCGATTCAGCTGCGAGAAATTTGACAGCCGACCGCTTTCTGTTCATTTAGAGACAACGGCTTCAGCGTCGACCTTTGACAAGTAGTGCAATCGCCTAGTAAAACCAGTCAGCCAGCTATTGGTGGGGTTGTTTATTGGTACCCTGAAAATTACTCCACAAAGACGCGCAACTAACTTGTCTAAATATTGCAGTGTTTGCTATTTTTAGTTCGAAGAAATTATTTTCTTCAGCATTCCGAGCCCTTGAGGTTCATTGCTGAACATATCACCCGCCTCCACTCATCTTTCTGGTTGGCCTTCTTTTTTCAGTTGGTAACACCCCAAAAATAAAAATAAAAAAAAATCATTCAAACACTTCTTGAACTAAAAGTTTTCACCCTGTGGATTCTAGGACTCAAATCTGTGATGGGATTAATGAAACCCCTACTTCCATATTAAGCATGTCGTAAAATACGACTAATTAAGGCTTTTTTCTCCGAAGACGTATAGCATCTGTGAGGAACCAACAGCCTGCATGCAGTAAGCAGTTCTGGAACAAAACTAAGTCCAGAAATTGACGAACAACAAGAACTTTCTCCCAGAGTTTACAGCCGCTGAACGCCAGGAAGAAAAGAAAACAAGAAAGAAAAAGAGGGATTAAATAGTGTGGCCATAGTGTCCTGGTACCTGCTACATAATGAACACAGAACAAGGTGGAATGACTTCTTTTTTCTACCCTCTAACTTCCTCTTTCCCTTCCATCCTATTTTTCTTCCTTTCTCTTTAATTTCTCCCCTCACTCTCACTGGCTCCTTCCCAATCATTCCTTCTCCCTTTTTCTGTTATGTTATTTCTTTCCCTTTCCTCTTCTTTTTCTTCATCTTTTTCTTCCGCTGTTTGACTTTCTTCTCTTCTCACCCTCTTTCTTCTGTCGCTTCCTTCCGTCTCACCCATCTCCTGTCCCTCCCATCTTGCTTGCTTTCTTCCTTCCCTCACTTTCTTATCTTCTTCCATCTCTGTCCCCCCCCCCCCCAGTTAAGATCCACCGTACTCTTTAAAAAGCTTTCTGCCAGATCTCTACTTTGGTCCTTCTTCTTCTTCTGCCTTTTTATCCCCCAAAGGAGCATAGGCCCTCAACCAACTCACGCCAAGTCGTTCTATCCTTCGCCATTGCATGGAGCTCTCCCCATGTCCTCCCCATTCATTCTCCAGCTCTCTTCTCCATGTGTTTTTTGGCCTTCCTTTATTCCTATGCCTCTGTGGGTTCCAATGCAAAGACATTCTAGTTATGCTGTTCTCCTGTTTTCTCAGTGTATGTGTCCTATCCAACGACTTTGTTCCTAACCTGCACAGAACTGCAGATAACACCTGACTGGTAAAGCCGTTATGAGTGCCCTAATAAAAACTTATTTGGAGGTTGAATGGGGTATTTGGGATCTACCTTGTTTGTCTGAATGCAGATTGATATTTAAAAAAAAAAAAAAAAAAAAAAAAAAAAAACAAACACCCACACCTCAAAATGTTATGGTATGGTATGGCAGCCTAGAGGTGCCACATCGATCGATCTCTTTATCAACTTGTTTCCACTTCCAGAAGTACCATGCAACGCCACCTCATGGCTGTTGGATCAACTGCAGTCTTCACAGAAATACGTCATCTCACTCTCAGCCTGGAACGCCCAAGGGGAAGGACCAAAAAGCAGCAGGGTTACCACCACCCCAAACATCGGTAACTGTGAGTAGACCCTTGTTTTGTTTCGTTTGACTTGCGTTTTTAAAAACTTAAGGTTGAAAACAGTTAAGCCTGTGTTTTCTTTCCGGATTCTGTGAAGTCCATAACTGCTTTGTAATCTTTAACATTTCATTTAAGGATGGTGGAAAATATAATCGGGTTTGAAAACGACAAGAAACCTTTTTATAGATTACAGTGCGGTTATCGCGGACTTGCAGAATCTGTAAATATAAGATAAAACACTTGGACCGAACGAGATCCTGTGTTGTTGACCTATTAACTGGCTATTCAGCTTGTCAAAAAATACGTATAGATACTCTTGTGTTTTGTCCTTGGCACTGAGACAGCAGATTGAACGTGTACAGGATTTCACCGTTCATCTCTCTCTCTCTCTCCCCCCAACTCACTTCCCCCTCCCCCCTCCCAATAAAGTTGACAATCCTGGACTGCTAAATGGGAAAGTTTATTTCTCAGTGACTGAAAAAAAAAAAGCCACTTTTCGGTTGCTTGAACACAAACAAATCCTTTATAAACTATAAAACAATTATATTGTGGTACACTACAGCCGCACGAAATAGTGTTAGTGGGAGTAAATATGCGAAATGTTTAGCCTTTCTCTCTCTCTCTCTCTCCTCTCCTCCCTATCCCTTCTTCTCTTTATTCTGCCTCAGCCCCCCCCCCCCCCCCCCCCCGAAATAACGAAATCAGTCGGTTACTTGTAAATAAATGCCACTGTTTGATTCACAGTGTCAGCAAACGAAACGCCCTATCTCATCTTGGCAACAGCAAATCGGATAGTCAGGAGAACCATACTGGACGTTGTGCAGTACGGGCCACAGTTCTCCAAAACCCTGCATGAAACTGCCGACGAGAGCATCGTTATCAGAGGTAAGACAGAGCCAGATGTCCCTCATTTGTCTCCTGTAGTTGACTTGTAACATCTAATAGTATATATAGTTTGTTTATAGTCAGTCCGTCGGCTCTGTAGCTAAGTCGATGCGAACGCTTTATAATGCCGGGATGCCCGGTTTGATCCCAGCTGCAGGCCATGCAGCTTGCGTTGGTTTCGACAGTGGTATCAAGAAAGCCGACCGTCCAGAGGCAATTGCAAACTACTAAACGTAAATTTGCCTAGAAAAACCACACAACAGCCAAGGGCTGTTGGGGGTTGGTTCTTCAACGTCCTGTAAAGGATACGCAACTAACCTTATACTCAGTCCTGCCCGATTTTTTTTCTTCAAAACCTGTTATTGTTATTACTGTTGTGGTTAGTGTTAGTGCTACAGTTTCTGTTGCTGCCTCTAACTTTTACTTACTGCTAGTGCTAGTTTCTTTTGCTGCTCCTGTTTTTACTTACTGCTGTTATGGTTATTGTTAGTGCTACAGTTTGTCTTGTTGCTCCTACTGTTACTTCTTGCTGTTATGGTTACTGTTAGTGCTACAATTTCACTTGATACTCCTGATCCTTTTTGGTGCTGATGATACTTTTTTTTTGCTACTCCTACTGTTACTTTCTGCTGTTATGGTTACTGTTAGTGCTACAGTTTCTCTTGCTATTCCTAATTGTTCTTAGTGCTGATGAATTTTTTTGTTTGCTACCACTACTCTTACTTACTGATTTAGTTACTGTTAAAACTACAATTTATGTTGCTACTTCTGCACTTATTTACTGCTGTTGTGGTTACTGTTAGTGCTAATTTCTGTTCTTGCTACGTTTGCCCATATTCTGAAAGGTGACCAGAGAGAGTTGGCGAGAGGGATACCCATTGAAAAACTTTAGCTGCACAACCCAGCCAGTAAAAAGTATGAAACAGCTTTATTTGAGTTGACGAGAGCTTTACTTCATCAGGCAAAAAAAAAAAAAAAAGGAATGAAGGAGAAGATCTAGGGAAAAGAAAATATAACAATATTCAGTTAAAAATCACAGACTTTGAAAATCCTGCTCCAGATTTTGTGCAGTTGCAAAGTTCTGTTGAAGCAAGTATTTCTAAAGCCATACTTCTGCTGTTCATCCATACAGCCAGCCATCAATTGTCCAGGTAATTGATACATAGACAGGTCGTAGCTCACCTTTCACTTCAGTAGGCACTTGAGAAGCTTTCAGACAAATTATACCTTTTCACCTGTTCATGTTTGCATTTTTGTAACAAGCTGGGAATTCTCCAAGAGGGCTGTCAGTCATTTGTCAAATTTTCTTTAACATACAGTCCTGTTTGTGCCAAATTATACACATGTGAGCCCATATGGCAATTTACATATGAGTTAGCAAAAGAAAGTGATACTTTTCTCACAGACATTTTACACCCCCCCCCTCTCTATCTCCTTCCTTCCTTCCTTTATCCCCTACTGCCCCAGCTTAACTTTATTTCTAACAGCCAGTAATTAAATCAGCCTTTAGGCTGAAGGGACAAGTCTTTAGGATCCAAGAAAACTGATTCAGTTAATAAATTCTCCAAAAGGTCAGATATATCCACTGTAGGGTGCAGCAGTCGTAGCTGTACTGTAAACGTAGGGCAATTACACCCCAACAAATATCTAACAAAGATTAACAATCTTTTCTGCATCTGCTGTCATCTATTCAGGTATCAGCTTACACGTCAGAAGACAACTGATTCTAGCCACAGATTCATCTGGAAGCGTATCTCTCATCTCCCTGAAAGACAACAGCAGCAACACCAACCTCTACCCCAGCATCTTCGACCCTGGCGCTGTATCAGTGGACTGGCTGGCAGACCGGGCCTATGTTGCCAGCAAGGACAGGGTCAGTTTATCCTGCGTGTGATGGATTGTTGGTTAAACTGTTGTTTTTTTGTCCCAGAACCTCATGTTATTAATCCATTATCCTATTGGAAGCCATGGTAGCCCATCAGTGTTTTGCTGGCCTGCAGGGTTAAAGATATTTTAGTTTCAAATCCACATCGAGGCAGATTTCATAATTGATCTGATATCCCAGCATAAAATCAGTTTTAGAAAAAAAAAATAAATGTGGTACGAAGAAAAGCTGGGCAGCATGATTGATACTAATCCCATCACACACTGAGTGTAGATTGATCTATAAGCATATGAATCTAGTACCATATACCCAGTAAGCCAGTCATATTTTGTTAGAAGTAATTTTCTTTAATGAGCAGTACCAGGTTTAGATGTATCACAGAACTAAGTTATAAAATATTATATATCATGTAAACTTCATTTTATAAAAAAAGGATCATATTATACAATAAACTGTTGCCATTTGAGTTGAGAAAGTTAATTCTTGTGTACAGGGAATCTTATCTAGCATGACTACCACGCCTGAACATTGAGAGAGAGAGAGAGAGAGAGAGAGAGAGAGAGAGAGAGAGAGAGAGAGAGAGAGAGAGAGAGAGAGAGAGAGAGAGAGAGAGAGAGAGAGAGAGAGAGAGAGACGTGTACACCCCCCCCCCCCCCCCCCCCATACCTTCTGTCTGCAGACATGTCTTACAGAACATTGTTAAAAATAAACAGATAAATAGTTTGGCTATCCTCTGAATAACGGTTGGTAAAGATGGCGGCCGCAAAATATCCTTTCGAGCCAGTCACTTGTCAATTGCGCACTTCTGGCGACTTAATTTGCGGTTCTCCGGCGATTTTCTGGCGACTACCACCACAGCCACGAGTCCCCCACGCGGCGTGGATTGGGGCTAAACTAGATGGACGAGCAGCAGCTTCCGCATCTCCTGAAGCTTTGCTAGTGAGTCCTAGCCATCTAGTTTAGCCCAAATCCATGCTGGAAAACCGCTGGAGAACCGCAAATTAGGTCGCGTGACTGTGGCTCGAAAGGATAATTTGTGGCTGCCATCTTTACCGACCGTTATTCGGAGGATAGCCAATAGTTTTAATATTCTAAGATGTAAAGGCTTAGCATAAATGTTAAAGGAGAGTCAGTAAACAGTTTGGGGGGGGGGGGGGGGGGAGCGGCACATCAAAAGAAGAAGATAAATATTGAATCATATTGTTACAGCTGGAAGAAAAGATTAAAGGAAAGAGAGACAGGTTAAGACGGTGAGAGACAATTCTTGGCAGCTTTTAATTGTCTCATAGAAAAATACCCCAGTTTATTCTTCCTTACCTGAACATTGTTTTGGTACTACTCAAGAATCCGGTAAATTCAAACAGCCTAGGCTGATATAATAACTGAGCAGTCATAAATAGTAGCACTTGCATACATAGTATTTTAAAAATGATTTCTCTTATATTCGTTGATTTTGCCTTATTTTCACTTTAATTATTTCTAAATATGCCCATTTACAGATTTACAGCTGCCCACTAGACAAAGATCTGTGTGTTGTGGTTGTTCGCGGACTATCAAAACCAGCCAGTGTTGTCAAAGTGGACCCCATTAATGGGTACGTACATGATAATAGTATATTTATTATTGATGTTGAATTTAGGAAATTTGAATTTTAGTGTTGTAGATCATCAACATACAGCAAGTTATTTGCACATCGTCACTTGCATCAAGGCATGCCAGCAAGTCGGTGTTTCTCGTTACGTTTCCCACCTCATGAACTTTGACGCCCCGGATGTCCTTGATGTCCTGTGTATGCTGTCATGCTGGTCATTCCCTGATCCTTCCTGAAACTGTCCCCTATTATACTGTTCTCTTCAAATCATTAGTGTTTAATGTGGCTGATGCACATCAGTTTTCGTGAAATGATATTGTCTTTGAGCAAGCCCTCATCTGTGTGTAAATCATGAAAGAGTGTCTGCATTTCCCCCTTCTTGGTCTGTCATAATCTAAGAATTGTCCTGTTACATTTAAGTTAAAAAACTTTGACAGAATCCTATGAATCAAGAGGTGAGGGAAAGAAGCTGAACTTCAATAGAGTTCAAGAAAAAAAAAAAAGGCGGGGTAAAGTAGCAAAGATAATGTCTTCAATATTTTATGAACTCACTACAAATCAGTAAAAATTGTGTCCATTTTTTAATTAACATAATGCCAGATTGTATCTTTTATTTTTATGTTTGAAAATTCTTCCTAGCGTTCACTGACTGTACAGTTCAGCAAAAGTTGTGGCTGTTTATTACTTTTCTACTAGGTTCTTGTTCCAGAACTTGAGTTTTGCGTGCATATCCATTTGACAGATCTGGCTGATTTGATTGGGTACAGTTGATTCCTCGCCTCTCAGGCAGATGCACTCCAACTTCAAAGGAAACACCTTTTATTAGTTACCTTTTATTACAACATGCTTGTTAGGTGCAGTGAGTCCGTTTCTTCCACTCCCTCAAAAGAGTCTTTGGATCCTACATGGGGAACCAAGTTGTATAAATGACATGGTAAATTCATGAATGTGATAGTAGTAGTAATAAATGCTAGAGTAATTTCATGAATTCACTGATCTGATGAGATTGTATTCATCTTTGTGATCTATCTGCAGGTATTTATATTACATCATAAATGGCTTGGGGAAAGGACTGTACAGAATTGCATTAGGTGCTATCTCTCATCTCTGGACCAACCCGTATTCATTCCCTGCTGTGCCAGCTACCTCCCCGCGACTCATTGTTCCCATGAGTGATCTACAAACACATGTGATTGATTTCTACAATGTCCGACTCTATGTCATCAACAATACAGCCAAAGTTATGATGGCTGCGTTTTTGGATGGGTCCAACATGCGACCTTTTCATGAGAAGATTGTCAGTTCTGCTTTTAGTCAAGTTTCGAGTATGGTCTTTTATAACCAGGTATGTTGCTTAAAACTAATAATTTTTAATAATAATTACGATGGTATGTTAGATTTAAATCTTTACCCTTTTACTACAGAAATACATTAAAAAAAGAGTCCCCTTTAGAATTCCATAAATAATTCGTTAAAAACAAAATAGTACACAGATTGATAATTCTTAAAATATTTTTAAAATGTACATTTGTATGTTTCTCTCCCTCAAAATATGTAAAGATATTTGAAATGAGTAATCAGTAAACATGAACAAGGAGAAGCATCTATGGAATATATCCCCAGGGCTTTAAAAAAAAAATTGCGTAACAGGCGTCTCATGCCACTACTGAGGTTTTATGGCTCATTACATAAAGTGATTAAGTTTGTATCGAAATTAAAAAGGGCGTACTTTTTGCTATATGTTAGAGTCACTCTTGTAGAATAAGTAAAATGGCCACTCCACTAATGAAATCCACCAAAGAGAATCAGCATTCTGTCGATCACATTCTTGATGTCCTCAGTAACAGTAAACAGGGTGCGATCTTCACGATGGGTGTTGGCTGAAGTGGATGTATGTGTGTCCACTGCTTGCTGTCTGGGAATACCTATTGAGATCTCAACCGCTTACACAGTGCAGCTGTCACACCACTGTCCGAAAGCTATGAGAACTGTCTTTTTCAGCATGCTACAAAAATTGAATTCTGGTTCATTAAATACTGAGGCTCCTTGATGTTATTTAAATAAAGAAGGACAGGTGTTCAATTATTGTAGTTTGAAAGTAGTAAAGCAGTACGTCTTTGTCTGTATCATATTAATATATTGTGTGTACCAAACTGCATTTTATGTATTAACAATAAAAAAAAATGTATTCAATAAAACCATGTCACTGGAGATTAGGGAAAAAAAACATCACATTGTGTCTGCTACATAGAGCCATTTGTAACTTATGGCTGTAAATCCTGGTCAGTAAAAAAAACCCATCACATTGTGTCTGCTACATAGAGCCATTTGTAACTTATGGCTGTAAATCCTGGTCAGTAAAAAAAAACCATCACATTGTGTCTGCTACATAGAGCCATTTGTAACTTATGGCTGTAAATCCTGGTCAGTGTGGCGGGTAACTTCGCTTTAACTAGCGAATGCACTATGTGCAATTCACAGAGGGAATTACAAACAGTAAATCTTAATAAGGGTTTTTATTACCCCCAGCCTTGCTGGTTAAATTAGAGGATTTGGGGTTTGCCCACATCTGATTCCCTACTGTTATTAAACTTGTATATTTAAATGTTCTTAAGTTCACTGACAATGTTTACAGTTAAAAGGAAACTCCATAAAACTAGGAACATTAAACTAACATTTATTAGGATTTTCAAATCAATATAAATTCAAATGATAACTAAATAAAATGGCTGTGGATATAAAATTATGGATTGGGAAAGCAACAGATGTTCCCACTTAGCTGTAGCTTAGATTTCTGTTGTCAGCTTCTGGCTAAGCTTCGGAAACACATCAGGCAGGCCGAATCTTCCAGTCCAGTCCGGACAATCGGGTATCTGCAGCTAAGCTTAGGATCTACTTCTGGACTCCCACCTGTACTGTATTTACCATCTGGAATACAATCTGGAACTAGAACAATAGAACCGTCCTTATACAAACAGTCAGGAAGGTTCTAACTGGAGACAATACCTCCAGTCTTTAAACTGTTACACTACACACATATATATGGAGTAGGATAGTAACAGGTGTTCACATTCTACTGGCATAGAATGGGAATGTATACAGAACCTGGTCCATAATCCTGATGGGGAAATATTTAGGAAACCAGTTTCATGAATACTCTCAAGAACAAGAGTTTACAGCACACAAAAAGAAAAGACATTCCTCAGTGTAAATTGTTCTGATGTCTGCACACTAGTACTCCTTTGAAGGGTTAACATGCTTACACACACAGACATACAGTCATATTTCACAATATTCTCATTTTAACCACATGGGTTCACATCACAATGAATGAGAAGCAGGGAGTGAGTTTACCAAGAGCAGGAACTCATAACAGGTGCTTTGCACTGTTTGAAAATAAATGGGATTGACATATCTCCATCAATATACTGGGTGCTGGGATAGATGTCAAAATACAATCATAGATGACAATGGGCTTTCCATCTGTCACAGTATTAACATAAAATATACAACACTCACTCCAATATCTAAATCCACACATGTGCTAATCTTATTCAGCAGAGTTTAGAAGTGGTGAGGGGTGAAATATAATTATTAAATTTGTAAGGCCACCTGCTGTAGAACTGAAATGTATTCCTAGTAATAGGGAAATATATATACAACAATAATAATTACAAGCATGGGCCATACATCTCTTTTCTGCTTCTTCTTCTCTGACAGTGTGAATATTAAATTCAGCCTCACTGTGTTATTCACTTTCCAAGCTCTTAAACTAGTCTCAGAATTATCTGGAGTAAATCTAAATTAAAGCCATACAGTGATTTATTAAGCTAATATCACCATGAGGTAAAATCAACTTAGAAGGGATTAGGTATAATGAATATTCACTTCATTCCTATTTTTAATTGTCTAAGCTGGAAACAGGAACTGGCTGAGATTTCACATGAGGACATAATTATCACTTAATTAATATAAGTATAATATTTAAAAATACCAATGCACGTTTCTAGTAGCAAATAAACATTAATTCAATCATCAAATAGATAATATGTTTGCATACATGTACATACTAGATCATAAACGTGGTTAGTGAGGATAAAGAAATTTATCATAGTTTTTGAGCCATGTGGGCATTAAATTTCAGAATTTAACCTGTGGAATTAATTCAGAGGAATAAGCAGCAATACATCAAATTAAACTTATTCTTTTAACTCACCCCTGGCAGGGAATTCAAACAGAAAATTGGACCACAGGCGGACTAAGAACTTTAGTCTGAACCGGTCAATTTCTGAATTGAAAATGGAACAGGAAGTCTTTAAAAAGGAGGAAGTTACTCTTCAGTTCCCCTTGACTAATCATCTCATTCGCCTTTATTACCTTTCAACTCTTTAATTATAATTTTGCTACAATGAAGCATTAGGAAAGGGGTAAGAAATTTCTTAATTAGTCCAGTGTTATTATGCTAATTAAAAGCAATAGGAAAATGTTTAGAACTTTGGTAATAGTATTATCTAAACAAAGCACTTTTTAAAAGGACAGAAACAGCTGTCCAGACCAGCTCGTCACAGTCAGTAAAAAAAAAAACATCACATTGTGTCTGCTACATAGGGCCATTTGTAACTTATGGTTGTCAATCCTAGTCAGTAAAAAAAAAAAACATCACATTGTGTATGCTACATAGAGCCATTTGTAACTTATGGCTGTAAATCCTGGTCAGTAAAAAAAAAAACATCACATTGTGTCTGCTACATAGAGCCATTTGTAACTTATGGCTGTAAATCCTGGTCAGTAAAAAAAAAAAACATCACATTGTGTCTGCTACATAGAGCCATTTGTAACTTATGGCTGTAAATCCTGGTCAGTAAAAAAAAAAAAAAAGCAAAACAATTTCTTAGACTTCCAAGATGTGTTTTACAGATGAATCCTTAGAATTTCTTAAGCAGAAAAAAAAAAAAAAAAAAATCCAGATGCTTGAAAAGCGAGGGCTTAAAGATAACTTATCACAAACACCTGAAAGAGAGTCATACTTTTTTGGTAATGTTATGAGAAGAAAACTGAACAGGCTGTGACCATGGGAAGTATCTGTGGAAAGAGAGACAGAGGTAGACATTGATAAGAATCTTCACAGCTTTTTGTCATGACATGAGGGAGTGTCAGCACACAATATAATACGTACTGTTTGAGATTGCACATTGTGGAGAGGCATGATCACCCACGTCAGTTTGACAAGGCCCATTGACTATGAAAATGCTTGATGTATACTAGAATGTTTTGTTTCTCTTGCCCAGACCTTCATTTGGACTGACAGTAAGAAAATGTATGTGGAAGAATACGAGTCTCGATTTCAGAATTATCGACACAATGAACTGCTTTTCTTCACACCTCCGTACACAGGCATGGATGTATTCCACCCTAGTGCACAACCAATGCCAGGTAAGTTGCATGCACATGCAGTTATATTGTCACTTGGTGAAATATATATATATGATATATATGTTAAAGACATGATACTGGAATAAAGCATGGTATACAGGTCAGAGGTCTCTCACTGTTGCAAACACCATGTTAGTGATTGTACAAATTATAAGCTAACAAAATAAAATGCTAATGCTATCATCACCATTCCATTGTGTTAATGTCAGATAGGGCTTAGTCTATTTCTCCATTCTATCCTGTGTAACTCTTCCAATATCATGGATAGAAACCGGTCCAGCACCTCTAGCTTCTTTCATCAACATTCATTTTTTTTTCTTGGATGTCCTTTTTTTTCATGCAATTTGTTTCCCGTTTCAGTTCCTCTCTGAACATTGACATTTTACAGATTTAAAATTTAACTACATAATTTTATTGTCTTCAGTGCCGTCCAGTGCTCCAGACAGTGTTGATGCTTTCTTTACCCGAGACAGAGTTGTGATCCGATGGTTGCCTCCACCATTGCTGCAGTATCAAGGTTTGTTTGACTAATATAATTTTGGTTCTTCTTAAAATAGCAGATCTGAAAGTCTGAAGGTCAACATCTGCCTGAAAACTGATTTATATTAATAACCTGGACTTCCAGGTAGACCCAGCTGTAATATACTCTGCTAGGGGCATGTGTTAATTTGCATTGCTTTCAGACGAACAGTGAGTTGTAACGACACAGCATGAACGAATATTGAGTTGCTTGCTTTTATTCGTTGAATCGCCAATTATCGCATACATACATTCTCGCTCCCTCGTGCTCGTCTTGCTTGGCTGAATCTAGCGACCTGGTCAGACTTCTCACACACTACAGGAATTCATCAGCGTCTCTCGAACCATCCATCTATCCTTCACGAACCCTGGTACCTGACATTACGACGTGTGGAAAAACATTCAGTCCTCCTATTGAAATATAACACTCGTTTCACAATTCATTTATTCTTCTCAGGCGTCCACTCATGCGACCTCTCTCAGTCAGGGCCGAACTTCAACTGTCTTACTCCTATCTCTCGGTTCACGTCTTCCGTTCACATCTCATGCTTTTCTTGTGTCCCTCACTTCGTTCACCATGAGATACACGAGACCCACTTATCCCGTTTTTCTCTTCTCTCACTGGTCCTCCGAACTTTTCCTCCCCATTGGGAACTCTCTGGGATTTCCCCGGGAATTCACAACATTACACCAGCCTTAGATGGTAACCAGGAAATGTTCTGGAGAGTAAAGATATTCTCATGACGGTGACCACATCACTCATCAAGTACCATTTAGTCTATAAAAATATGGGTCTCTCATGCATAGGGTCCTTTACTGAAAACTGCTACATGATCCCAAGATTTGGTCATAGAAACAAGCTGTGTTGCTGCAATTTGGCTGACATATTTCAGGGCTGGAGAATTGGATAGAGATATCCATGTTCTTTTAAAGAGTCTAGACATTAATGGTGAATCTTCTTCCCCCTCAGCAGTGTTTACTGGCAAGTCTGAATTAGGGAAAAAAATATAGTTATAAATGGGTTATAATTTGTCAATTGTATTTACAGTGTTTACTTTTGGAATGTGTAGTGTCTGTGGTATTTTCAGTGTATACTTTTCTGAACATGTAGTGTTCATGATATTTTCAGTGCATTCTTTTTTTGGTGTGGTAAACTTTGCATTTTAATATGCTAGACAATGTCCATGTACAACATTTGGTTATTTTTTTTTATATTGTGTGTCTTTGTTTTACAATCCAACAGGACATGGAGCTTTTATGAACTGGACTTATGAACTCCAATTCAGCAGATCAAATGAGAATGGAGACATTGTTAGTGCCCCCAAAGAATACAACATCTCAACCTTAAACCTAACTGTTTCCAACCTAAGCCCAGATACAATGTATGCAATCAAAATAAGAGCAAGATCAGACGCAGGGAATGGCCCTTGGTCAAGAAACTTTATTGGCAGGACACTGAAGCAAGGTTTGTTGATAGGTTTTTCTTTGATACTGATTTTATATTCTTTTCTCTATCACTGTATTGTCTTTTTGAATGATAATCATAATTTTTTTCAGCAACAGCTTAACTGCTAATCCTAGGTGGTCGCTGCTGTTAACAAAGCTACTCGGATATAGCAAATTAATGAGAAAAGAGCTTACAAAGCAATGTCACACATGAATTGATCAACAAATATCTGATGAGTCACTTACTGTGAAAATGAGTCCATTGAAAGAGTTATGAAGTTACAGCCATCTGCCAGCTTTTGTGTGCTTTATGCATGCTAGTATTCTACAGACATTCTCAGATATTCCATAAATCTTCATCTGTTTCAACTGTCACTTGTGTCTGTGTGTCAGAGCTGTCTTGAGCACTGGTTTATATGGTTTATACAATGGATCAGTATCATGGCACAAAGGTAGTAAGCCTAAGTGCTCCATTCTACGAATCTCATTGCAGTGCACGAGCTCTGTGATACCGGTGAGGATCCTGAAATACTTTTGGTTCGATTTTTAACTCTAAATTTTGCCCGGGCAGCACAGTTAGGCTACTGTTTTTTTATTTGCATCTGCCAAGGGATTTTTTAAAACCTGCGCAGCAATACACACAGGCGTGGCGTCTGATCTTACTACCCAGAGACCAGAGAAAATTGTTAGATGTCCACATGAAAAATTCCCAGCCTTCTCCAGGACCTGATCCCGGGACCTCCAGCACTCGAGGCGGACGCCATGCCTCAGGACGACTCAGCTCCCCCGTCTTGAGCACTGTATTATGGTAATCTTCAGAGCACTGTATTATGGTAATCTTCAGAGCAAAGTAATTATGGTAATCTTCAGAGCACCGTATTATGGTAATCTTCAGAGCACTGTATTATGGTAATCTTCAATGACTTAAAGTTATTAAATGATGTTTGTATTATCATCAAGTGCCTTGGTAACTAGCAAAGGGATCAGGCCTCTTCACAGCTTATGATCATCAGAACCTATTAGTCCAGGAACCGACACACTCTCATATAATAACAAAAGATTGTCAACAGTCGTATCTCAATATCATTGTTTTTTTTTCTTTCCGTAAATCTTTCCATTTGTATTTGTATACAGTATTTAATTTGTCCATACATGCCTCACATTTCCAGATGGCCTCAGTGTCTTGATGGGTCTCGCTGGTGGGCAAATTGTTCAAAAGGACCTCACTGACGGAACTGAGAAAAATGTGGTCAATTTCTTCTCTGATGCCACAGGTACCAAATTTTTTTTTAAATTACCAAATTAATGAAGTACGAGCTGTAACAAATATATTTTTTTGTCATCAAATTAATGAAGTACGAGCTGTAACAAATATGTTTTTTTTGTCATCAAATTAATGAAGTACAAGCTGTAACAAATATGTTTATTTTGATCATCAAATGAAGTACAAGCTGTAACAAATATGTTTATTTTTATCATCATCAAATGAAGTACAAGCTGTAACAAATATGTTTATTTTGATCATAAAACAAATGAAGTTCAAGCTGTAACAAATATGTTTATTTTTATCATAAAACAAATGAAGTACAAACTGTAACAAATATGTTTATTTTTATCATAACACAAATGAAGTACACAAGCTGTAACACAGATGGGATCTAGTCACTACACTGCCACGGCTTCCAAGAGGAGGAGGATTTAAGTTAAAATTAATAAAGGTTGAACCAAGATACACTGTCTATTTCAGTGTGAATTAATAAACTGATTGATTGATTCCTCCTATTACAGACATCGACTGGCACGGTGATATCATAATCTGGGTGACAACCTCTGGTTCCCTGTCTGTGTTCAATCGAACAAGCCAACAGAAGCGACATCTGGTGTCAGCATACAAGGCTTACTGCGCAGCTTACGATTGGCTGGGGCACAAAGTTTACTGGTCTGAACCTGGCCAGGGAATGGTGAGATCTTGTACCAATGTTTTTGTTTATTTTCCTCACCTGAAGCCGTTGTCTTAAAGCTCACTTGCCCTTGATATTGGTATGCACACAACTTAACTGATATCATCATACAACAGACTGTTAGTTACTATAGACAACTTGAATGATATAATCATACAACAGACTGTTAGTTACTATAGACAACTTAACTGATATCATCATACAACAGACTGTTAGTTACTATAGACAACTTAACTGATATCATCATACAACAGACTGTTAGTTACTATAGACAACTTAACTGATATCATCATACAACAGACTGTTAGTTACTATAGACAACTTAACTGATATCATCATACAACAGACTGTTAGTTACTATAGACAACTTGAATGATATAATCATACAACAGACTGTTAGTTACTATAGACAACTTAACTGATATCATCATACAACAGACTGTTAGTTACTATAGACAACTTAACTGATATCATCATACAACAGACTGTTAGTTACTATAGACAACTTAACTGATATCATCATACAACAGACTGTTAGTTACTATAGACAACTTAACTGATATCATCATACAACAGACTGTTAGTTACTATAGACAACTTAACTGATATCATCATACAACAGACTGTTAGTTACTATAGACAACTTAACTGATATCATCATACAACAGACTTAGTTACTATAGATGATTTATGGGAATTGCTCATGTTTAATTCTCATCAGGTTAATGGCTGTCTGTCTCTAGATGGTAATCCAGCAGACTGCATTCCTATAAGGGTTGACACACACGTGGGGGGTGCATTTTGTATACATGCCTTAACTTCTGGATTGATCCAGCCTAAACTGGGCATCAGGAAATATCCTGGAAAGTAAAGGTGGCAGTCATGTTGTTGACAGCATCACTGATCTAGCACCAGTTGATCTGTATGAATATGGTGCTAGTATCCTATGCCCAGTGCATCACTGGCATGATAGAGTGTCCTTGTCTTGAAGCTGACTGTATTCCTGTTTTGGTTGATATTTTTTCATTATTTTGTTGTTTCTCAGATTCGGCGTTCAGATATAAATGGTATAACAAATGAGTACATTAGACAGACATCAGCCAGGGATCTAGCAGTTGATGCTGTCAATGGAAGATTGTACTGGGCAACTCAACATTCCATCGAAACATGCCGACTTAATGGAGATGAACATCAGGACATTTTTAACCTGCCCTACTTCAGTGGCCGGCATGTCATCAGTCTCACTTTAGACTTTGATTCAGGGAAAGTAAGTTTTGTATGATACTGCCTCTTTATTGATTCAACAGTGTGAGTTCTCAACAGCTCGCCTCTGATGGTGATTTGACTATTTTGTGATTGTTTCAACAACACAGGCTTATGGATATGTTGATGTTGACTTGACTTGCAATTAGTGTGTTTGGTAAATATAGAATTTGCAAGAATAAGTTTACAATTTACAGTTAATACCACTGTAGGAAAACCTAATTGCTAGGGTGATAGGATTTTTGTAGCCATTGGAGTTTGTACAGTGAACAGACTTCTGTTGACAGTGAAATTTTAGAATAAAAATGTATTTCAGTAATTCATATTAACAATTTATAAAGTGTATATCTATCTGGGAAACCATAGTAGCACAGTGGCTTGACACTAGTTGCCGGAAGTTCTTAGGTTCAAATCCATGTCATACCAAAATTATCATTCACTTTGGCTTTCAGGTCGACACAGCCTGAAATTGCTCCCAGAAAGTGACATGGGAAGTAAAGGTGGCTGGCAGAATACTGATCACATCACCCTTTAAATGCTATTTGGTCTATACAAATGTAAATCTAGCATGAAGTGCCTGATAGACTGGCATGAATTTTTTTTCTCCCCAACATGTCTGTCTGTGCATCCACTCGACTGCCTGTCTGTTTGATGTAAATTAATGTCTGTTGCATCTTTTGCCCACCCATCCTGTTATCAGTGATTTCTGTTCATACCTCCTCATAGGTTTTGTGGTATGTCAAGGGTTATGACTCTCAGGGTGTGTTCATGGCTGACCTAATTACTGCAGGAACTCTCGGCCAGCCTTCTGTCTCTTGGGAAAGGGGCGGAGAATTCAGGAGTATATCCAGGTAACAGAGGTCACTTACTTTTCTTTTGATGTTCGTTTGTAAACTGAAATTATATTTATGCAGGCAAGTATGAAATAATGGCTTCATATTTATTTGCTCATTTTAATCACATCATAGTATTAGGGTTATGGAACCAGCAGTCTATACAAATAAGCTAGATCTATAAAATGGATGTGTATGCAACACTAAGTTCCTGCGATGAGACTCAAGTCCAGAAGTGGACAAACAACTACCAGAACTTTCCACCAGAGTGTACAGCCGCCGGTGAAGGCTAAGACAAAGAGTGATGAGGTACACAGTGGACATGGATAGCAGGTTGCAGTGCTACTAATCATTTTCCTCTTACAAATGAAAGTGATTATTTACTATCGTTCAATGTAATTAAAATTATTTGTTCTTTTTAATATTTTGTGTGCATGTGGGACAGAAAGAAAGATTTGTATGTGCGCTGTGTATGACTTTATGGCTTGGAAGGTACATAGATAAGTAGTCAACATTTGTTTTAATTTTAAGCTGTTAGGCAGAATTGGGGGTGGGAGGGGGGGGGGGTAGGTTGGAATAGCATAATATTCTTACTGGATTGTTTTCATTCTCTAAATGTGCTGTAAACATATATCTCACCTAAATGTTTCATATAGTCACCTATGTTAACTTTTGAGAGAGAGAGAGAGAGAGAGAGAGAGAGAGAGAGAGAGAGAGAGAGAGAGAGAGAGAGAGAGAGGGAGGGAGGGAGGGAGGGTGGGTAGGTGGGTGGGTGGTAACTTTAAATGTGCGGTGAACATTATGATTCATTTTTATTGTGGGAACTATTGCAGCTCGTCAGGGTTGAAGTATTTCTCACAGCGTCTGTTTTGGCTGACAGAGCAGAACTCTCTGGTTGTTGGAGATTCCCAGTGTAATTACACATCAAACATCAGCTTCCATTCCAACCTGACTTCTTTCACAGTCATTCATCCCTCGATGCATTCCTACCCAGGTGAGTTTTTGTTTCAGATCAGTGATTTAAAAAAATAAATAAAAAAATCAAGGTTTTTTTCTCTTTATCAGCTTAAAAGTCTAGCCCTCCTGTACAAAAAAAAATGTCAAATGTTAGATTTGTAAATCGTATCATTTTCCTTACTTTTTGTACCTTTTATTTTTTTCTTTATATTAATCTTGTTTTTCTTATATTGAACAGAACAGTTTCTTGGGGCATTGCAGAAGGGTTTTAATAAAAGTCCTTAGAATGTCTTGGACAGCCAAAAAAAAAAGCAACCCAAATATTTTGAAAGAGGCAAGGGCTTGAAAACTTATCACTGACATCAGAACAAGACATTCTTCATTCTTTTAACTTCGTTTTTTTTTTCTTGTAACACAGCGGTTCTCAACCTGCCAGTTGCGACCCTTTTTTGTGTGGGTTGAATGACCCTTTCACAGGGGTCGCCTTAGACAATCGGAAACACATATTCATTAAAGTTATGAAAGAAAATAATTTTTTGGGGTTTGCGACAATATGAAGGAACTGTATTAAAGGGTCGCAGCATAAGCCACTGTTGTAAAATATTCTGTTTTTCTTGAAAACATATTTTCTTGTTTGTTGTAACTATATGTTTTTCTATCTTCTTTCTTCTAACATTATATATATAAATATATTTTAACCTTATAATTTCCATTTCTTTCTTGTAACCTTATATTTGTCTACACAAAAGAGTTCCAGTGAACTAGTTTTAAACTTGTGATATAATTAAAACATTGTGACGTTATCTTGCCTTTACATTAATATGGACACCATTTTTAATTTCATCAGCTCATATACCTGCAGACAAAGTCAAAGTCATCCCAGATCCAATCAAATCCGAGGACATAACCACTCAGGGTGACTGGTCGAACTTTAACCTCACCTGGCCGAGGTCAACAGAAGTCACACATGGCGTAGTCTTTTTCAAAGTGTTTGTGGAAGTTGGCAGAGAAAACAAACATTTCGTAAGTCCCTGTTGAGCGCTTTAAAATAAAAATAAAAAATTGATCATTAGTTGCTAATTGGAAGCTATAGAAATTAGTCATTGTATCTTCACTGCACATCAGACTGTTCATACCTTAACTGCTCAGATTCCCTTTTCAGGATATCCGTCAGTATGCAGGAACTGATGATACCAGTTCTGTTTTGGGTTCTTCTTCTTTTTCTTATGCCTCTGTACATAGTGTCTGATAATGACACTCACCTGCCAGCCTAGTTTTTATCTTCCAAAAAGAAAAACAAATGCAGAAGGAAAACTGTGCAGATGGCAAAACTGCATGAAGGAGAGCTTTGCGCAGAAAAAAAAAAACTGAACTGAAAGAAAGCTGTGTGCAGATATGAAAAACACACAAAGGCATAGTATGTGCACAGACATAAAAACTGCACAGAAGTAAAACCTGTAAATACAGACATGAAACCTGCACAGGTATAAAAACTGCATAGACATGAAAATTGTGCAGATGTGAAAACTATATCTTTTGTCATTTTAGATCACACCCAAACACTGGAATGAGATATCTGGCTTGTCTCCGTACACACAGCTGGTGGTATCAATTCAGCCATACACCTACTGGGGCTATGCCGATCCAACCACGGTTTCTGTCAGGTCTCCCATGTCAAGTAAGTAATCTATTTATTTGTTCCTTTGCCATCTTGTCTTTATTGTAGTTTAACAACATGTGAATGTGGGATATTCAGCATCAAGAATTATTTTCAGTCATGCATTCAACCAATACTTACTTACTTAATAAATTAATTCAGTTTTTTCATTTTCTGCCTTGTAGCTTTTTTTTTGCAACACCATTTTTTTTTTTTCAAGTTTCCATTATTCAGTATTATATTCATTCATCCTTCATCTTTGCCATCTCCATTGTGATTTGTGCACCAGTTTCTGAGGTCTGTAGTATCAAATATTTGAAAGCCTACCTACAAGTAAATAAGTTATTTTGATGTATCTGCCAAAAACGGTCATTACTACCTGCATTTACAGTTTATTTTGTGTAGGCAAGGTGAAAAAATGTGTATGAGTGAGAGAGGGAGAGAGAGAGAGAGAGAGAGCTGTAGGATTTAGGGTCGTATGGCTAGCACAGTTACCATTGCCTCCAGCAGAAAAACCCATAACCCTACCGATTCGAACCTGAGTCTTTCACATAATAGCAGTCTTAACCTTTCGGCCATCTTAATGCAACAGCATGATACATTTTGATTTCTTTTCCCTTTTTCAGAACCCACAGCACCACTGTCTCCAGAAGTTTATGTGATCCTGCACAAGACAGCAGCTGCTGCTCCGGACCAATCTTTGGCTGCAGATTTCCGCTGGATGGCACCTCAGCTGACCAATGGAATCATCAGCTATCACTTGGTAACCCACTGGATCGGGGACCAGCCAGATGCCAAAGTGACCGTTGTCAAGGTGAAGGGTACTGCCCGTCATTTCATACTAGCCCCTCTGGTAAAGGCACAGACCTACAACTTCAAGGTTAGTTGGCTCTTCTTTTCTCTAAAACAGTAAAAGTTATATATCTAATTGTGGATGACGTCCCTTTGTTTAACGCTTTGTATTTTTGACAAAGACTACGAAGAGGATGCAACTGGATGATTACTGTGTATTTGGAATAACCAGTGAATGAATGCAGTAAAAGGAATGCACTGTGCTTTGTTGAATCGCTGTTGAGTTTAAATTGTGTAGATGAGAAAGTAAATTTAATGAAGAAGGCTTCAGATGAATATTAAAATTTTTTCAGGTTTCCGCATGTACAGAGGCAGGCTGTGGTCCTGATTCTGTCACTAAGACGGCTGTTACTAATGGTAAGCTATGGTTGTTTTTGTTTTGTAAAAAAATTTTTTTTTAGTTGTTGATGCATTCAATTATACCAATCATTCCCATGGTGAGTTAAAATTTTTCTTCATCTACCTGTCATCTCCCAGGGATCCCAAGTGTAACCCGGAGGGGAAAACAATTAAATCCAGTGCCCCTAAAACAAACATCTCATCAGAGGTGACTTATAAGGGGTATTTTCTTTGAAATGAGAGTGCATCTGTCTGAGAATTTAAGAACCAACAGTCTGCATACAAATAAGCTAGACCTGTGAAACTGATGTGCATGCCGAACTGAAGTTTTAGAAGCAGACCTTTGTTTACACATTTTATATTATTTTAAATGTATTATATTTATTTATTATTTTATTAGTCACATTAAAAATATTTAGCACCACCTCTTCCCTTGTCTGTCTGTCTGTCTGACTGTTGGTTCACTTAGTGACTGAAAGGAGTTCACAAAAGTAGATCATGTCAGTTGAAACAACTTGTAGTGAGATGTTTGGTACTAATTGACTAAAGAAATCAACATCATGACTTACATGTTTTTTCCATCTCAGCTTTAAACCCAATTCCTATGCTACTGGTGGCCACCAAGCAAGGCCTGAGCCTCATGGAGACAGATAGCGAACACAACTCTACTATTGTACTAACCAGCACCCCACCAGAGGCGGTCACTTTCCTGTCTCAGGAGGAGCCACGGGTATTTTGGCTGGACATACAAAATAAAGTGTATGAGAAATCTGGCATTTCTTCTGAAGAGGTGGGTTGTTGCATCTTCTAAATAATGTTTTCTGTAGTGAGTATATTAATTGAGAAGCATATGAATATTAAATGGATAAATTCAAGAAGGGCGATAAAATGGGAAAAATGTCTGGACACCCGCTTGTATCAACAGTATAAGATAAAGAAGATGGCAATTAAGTTGCATTTACAATGGTAACCAGAAGCAGCATTCTTTTCAAGGCATATTTTTCAGTATTATTCTAATAGATACTTTTTGGTGAGTACCAACACCTTATTTCTAGGGAAAAATAACCCTGGTTAAAAATATACCCACATCCCAACATAGAAGGGAATACAAATAAACAGTTCTCCATCTAGAATAGGAAAGAAAAATGGGAGTTCGTTAAAGATATAAGGACATCCCAGCTTAACTCATTGAGTCCCAGAGGATTTAGCATCACAGGCCCCACAGGTAGTAAAGAAAGACATAAAATTTGGCGCATCATGAGTTCATTGGGCTTTTAGGTAGGAATCTATGAACATATGATACGTTCCTTGGGACTCAAAGAGTTAAAAGGGAAAGGAATTAATAAATATGTTAAACTTTTCAGGTTGTGAGTCTGGGTGGAACAGGACAGGACATAACTGTAGACTGGATTAGCCGAACTGTATACACTGTGGAATCAGTCAGCCCAGAGCAGAACAGAGTCATGCAGTTTAACATTGACACCACTGACTACAAGCTTCTATTGAGCAGGCCTACTCGTATTGGCAGCATCATTGCAGATCCATATAACAGGTAAGCTGGTGGTGTCATCTCAGTAGTGTGGATATATCTCATCACATGTACGTCTAGTTGTTTGTGTGTCTTCAACATCTCACTCTCTGTCTGTCTGTCTGTATGTCTGGTCTGTCTCTCTCTCTCTCTCCCCCCTCCCTCCATCTCCCTTTCTCTTTCTGTCTCTCTCTCTCTTGTGCACACTCTCTCATGCTGAAATCAGATGTGTTAGGCCAAAATATGCAGACATTGCAGCCTTGCTGTAAACTACAACACATTGTGCTACTGTTTTTTTAAGGGCAAACAGAAGATATTAAGTCATGATTATAAATATGTTTCTTTTCATTACAGTGCAATCTTATGGACAGAAATGACCTCTTCAGGTCAAGGACAGGTGATGTCTGCTAACATCACTACAGGAGAGGTGCACATGGTGCTGCAGGGTGCCAGACGCAGCAACAACAGCAGGAAGGCCTGCTCCTGCCCCCAGAACCTGAACATTGCCCCAGTCATTGCTATGGACTACAAGGGCCATGATGGGACCATAGAAATCGTCTTCGCTGACAGGACTACAGGCGCCATCTACTCGTCAGATATCACTGGTTGTCACTGCACTAAGATTATCCAGCCAACACCTTGGAAGCGACTAGGTAGAGTTTTGTCTTGAGTCAACATTTCATTTGTCTGTGGGTTCCATAGCCTACATTTGGCAGGGGAAAAGGGGGGGGGGGGGGATTTGCAGCCTAGCTGTAAACAACACAATGTGCCAGCCACCTTTTACAGGGGAATGGAATTAACTCTTTGAGTCCCAGAGGGTTTAGCATCACAGGCCCAAGGGGTAGTCAAGAGAGATGTAAAATGGGCACATCATGCGTTCATTGGGCTTCTAGACAGTAACCTATGAACGTATGATGCGTTCTTTGGGACTCAAAGAGTTAAGGAGAAGATTTGATGATTTTAAACACATTTTATGTATAAAATAGGCAAGATAATTATTTCTCTCTCTTTCTTGATCTCTCACTCTTACTCTCTTACTTTTTCACTGTTCCTGATTTCTCTGCCTTACTTTCACTGTGTGTCTAATATTCTATCTCACACAACTACTCCCTCTCTCCCTCCCTTTCACTCTTTTGCCTCTCTTTTTCTTTCACTTTCTCACTCTTTCTGTTACCTTCTTAAATCTATGTCTCTCGGTTTCTCCCAAATTCAACTGTCTTTATTCTCACTTCTAGTTCATTTCCTATCTCCTGTCATCTCACAACCCTCTTTTCACACACACGCACATGCACACACAGGAACACACACACACAAGTGCTCTCTCTCTCTCTCTCTCTCTCTCTCTCTCTCTCTCTCTCTCTCTCTCTCTCTCTCTCTCTCTCTCTCTCTCTCTCTCTCTCTCCAAAGCACTGTTTAATTTTAACTAAAACTTGCAACAATACAATCCCAATCAGGTCTGCCACCAAGCCTTCTTGCTGTTGACCACCTGAGGGTCAGCTGGTACAACCAGACAGAAGGAAAACTCTATAGCGTCACCAAGGCCATGGGTGATGGCTTGGTCATACATGATGTGGGGGATCTTCAGGATATTGTAGCTTATGGATCACATTTGCAGTTTCTACCAGGCAAGTATCTTGTGATTTTTTTGTTTTTGTTTTGTGGAATCTCAGAAAGGCTAGTTGGTTGCGTATCCTTAACAGGATGGTGCAGAACCAACCCCAGCATTATTTAGCTGTTGTAGTTTTTCTAGGCAAATTTTACTTTCAGTAGTTTGCCATTGCTTTCTGAAGTAAAAGCTCTGTACCACTGTCGCAAACCAGCGCAAGACAAACCGTCCGCAGCTGGGATCGAACCCGGCACCCTGGCATTTCGAAGCACATTCGCAATGCCTAATCCACAAACCCCTACCTCAGGAAGGTATACAACCAATTTAGACCTGTTTGATAAATCAGAGGTTGTCTTTGCTAATCCCATTGCTGCAGCATTATGTACTCTAGGTACAATCTTCTGCCTATTATTCTAATTTAGAGCATGGGTTCTCAACTGATGCATAAAAGCTGTCTTATTGTGATTAAAATTTATTTTTACATTCTTCGGCTTCCATGATGCCCTTCCCATATTAGTATTTTTGTCTTCAACTTTTTATCGCCATGATTTTAGATCTCACACTATTTCTTTTTTCTAACTTTGTTCCAGAAAATGACGTTCTTGTTATACAGACCTTTAAAAGCTTTCAGCTTTCTCTTTTCTGTACTGTTTAACAGAATCCTGAAATCTTATGATCATCATGTACTTTATAAAGTAACACTTTTGGTTCCAGATAGTTGTCACACTAATTGAGCTAGTTTGACGAGTTGCATTGAACTATTAAATGTCCTGAGTCTGAGAGTTACACTAGAGACATGATTTTCGATTCATTCTCCCTGCCAGTAGTTTTCAGTTGAGAAGGCTACAAGCCTCTGTGAATGAAGTCTGTTGTGCAACACATTTCCTCCATTGATTCACACAGCTTGCGTTCCACCTAAGGGCCAACTAACTAGACCTAGGAACTCTCTACTGCATGTCTGAAGCACATACATGTTCAGTATTATCTTGGTTTGTAAGTCCTTAAAGCCTAAAATTAAGTCCTGGGAAGTAAAGGTGGTTGGCGTGATGTTGATCAAATAAGCCACAGAGTGCTGATAGTTCTATTACTATAAAATATAGCTCTTGCACTATATATCCAATATGCATATTCCATATGCATGGAAAGGTTCCTTAAGTTCTGAACATCTGGCTGCCAAGTTTGTGTCTTATACGCAGTCTAAAAACAATAGTTAGTTGATTAAGTTCATGTGAGGAGGTTAAAACAAGAGTTTTAAAGATTGTTAAACAATCTGTATTCAGAGAGTTGATGTAGCAATTATCTGTTTTAGAAAAATGCAAGACAAAAGTATGTTATCTTTGGAGTGACCAAGAATTGTATGATGAGCTGCTCAGTTGTTGGCACCTTTCTGTCTTTCTATGGAAAATGGGAATCTCAATCCATGATGATGGCGAGTGTGACTTGAAACAGTCCCATTCACGTTAAGAAATGTCTTCCACAATTAGATTATAGGATATCAGGACCAGTATTGCCATAGCATGTATTTTTTCTGCTTCTTCTCAGATGCCCAGCTCTCAGCCTATCTGCAGTCATTTTCTCTATCATTCCCTTCTTGATTTTCCTTTCAGCCAGCATGGTCCATGACATTGTGTTATTGTGAATCTGTCTCAGTACCTACAACATTCATGCCCTACTTAAACAGTCTATAAATCATAGTAGAGGCCCAGCTTATCTTCTAGCCATCTATAATTTACCACAGAAGACGTCCTTAGGGACTCTACTATCCTCCATTCTCCAAGTGTGGCCTAGGTACCTGAGCTTTCAAAGTTGCTTGGTACCCAGTGAATAAAAAAGAAACTGACAAAATTGTGTTTTTGTTTTTAGACTCACGCTGCCTTGAACCTGGTAAATTTGAGTTTACATTGGAGCACATGCAAGTTGAAAGTACTTCAATCCGCCTGCACCTGCCCACTCCAGTCAGATCAGTAGAGTGTCAGAGGGTCAGTGCTCCACGAAACAAGTACACCATCTATTACAGAAAGGTCAAGGTTCTGAAAACAGGGACTACTTCAGATGACTGCCATGCAGAGTTATCTCTTTGTGAAAAGCAGGTACAGGAGATGACTGTTTTCTGTGTCTCTACTTTTCTTTGTGGACTTGATGAGTATAATTGTTAGTATGACTACTATTTCCAGTTATGACCCAGAATTGACTCTTAAAAATGAACAGAGAGTGACGGTAGCTTGACCCTTGAATATGGGTTTAAAGGTTTTATCAAAGCAGATTTTTATAATTGATTTGAGCCCGGAGCCTAAAAATTGGTACCGAAAATGTCCAGGGAAGTAAAAACAGGCGAATGATGTGGACTATTTTGCTCATCAAATGTCGATTTGTCTGCAAGAATGTATGGTCTAGCACTGTATGCCAGATGCATCACTGATAAGAAAAGGGTCCTTTACTTATTGACTTACAGATTTACCTTCAGAACATTTCTTGATAGCCATTTTTAACCAGTCATGTCATTTAAGGTTTCTAGGTCAGTTTTAATATATAAGTCCCATTTTGTGATTTTTATCCTTGACCATTAGACGGACAGATGTATGTATTTGAACATAAGTCCAAAAGAACACAAGAATATGGACTAGACAGCAGAGGGTTTGCAGCCTAGTAGATGTTTTGGAGTCACAGCTTTTGAAAGACAAATTATGTTATAGTAAAAGGGAATGTCTGTGAATACCTGATACTGAAGTGAATGTCTGTTGAATATTTCTGCAGAAATCATACAGCTCAGTTGTGGAACTGAAGGGCTTGGAGCCTTACACTCAGTACCTTATACAGGTGGCCATCAGCAACTACTACACAGAGAATCTCTCTGAACTCATGAGCAAGCCACTCTTTTTGACCACTAAATTTGGAGGTTAGTTACCTTTTCCTTATTGTACCAGAATACCAGTGCTATATTCATATTTTTGTGTGAGTGAGAACTCCCTGTTCGTTCCACAAGGTGTTGGTCTTCATGGTGTATACAGCTTTCTTTCTCGTGTAGTGGCAATCATTTCTCATTCATATTGTGCAAACTAGATACAAGATCAGGAAGGAGATCAGCATAAGCCAGTGTTGCAGGAACACATCATATTAATTTGACAGAATTTACACTTGTTCAAAAATCCTCCCCAGCTGGAAAGTACAAAGATCAACTGCAAAACAAAATAAAAACAGTCATCCACAAAATACCAGTTTTGCCATTAGATGTTGTGGAGAACATTTTGCAATCCACAGCTTGATGGGTAGCAATGGTTCTTGTCATTCTGTGTTGATATGGAAGGTCTTTAATGTTATCATCCATTTTCCTCTAGAATGACTTCTTGCTTTCACATCAGATCTTATTATGTGTAGCACCAGTTTTGATAGTTGCTGTGACTGCATTTAAATGACTTGGCCAAATCTTTCTTTTCTCGATGAATTTGTTTATAGTGTTGTTCCCACTGTATGTCTGATACTTTTTCACTTTGTCTAAGAGGGTCATGTTGACATCTTTCCTCATGCATAACATATCGCAGGTGTTAATTTTGCAAAGCTTAAACCTTTGATAATACACAGGTACCCAGATCAAGAGCATATCATGGATTTCCTGTCCAGGAGATTCAGGCATGTTAGGTAATGAGTAAACTGATAGTTTGCTGTTGCCACTCCTTTGGGTGGTGATCTACTATGTGATAAAGCTGAGGTGGTGAAGGCTCTATAGAATCAAATGGACAGTGCAAATGAACAGATAAGGAATCCATACACTGAAAGACTGACTATTCAATGGTGTCAACCTGTGTGCAGGTTCTGGAAGATATTCAACCTTAAAGGGGAAACAGAGATGAACTTTAAATCAGATTACAACTGGTACTAATAGCATGTGAGCTCTTCATTGGTTACTGAAGAAGGGGATGGAGCACGTGTTCGAGTGTCCCGAGTACAATGATGTCAATTCTTAATTGATTCACTCATTTATAATGTTCAGGTATAGAACTACTAGCAGTGTTATGAATATGCTGTTTATAATCTGTTTCTTTTTGTTTGGATGTTTTAATAAAGGCATCAGTTGGCATATAAGTGCTCTGGTTCGTTGGAATATTATTTCTGTTTCCCTGTCTGTTCTCCCGTCCTCTCAGAATATACTTCTTAGGTATTTGAATTCTTTAACTTTCTCTGGACAAGTGCCATTCAACACTATCTTAAGTATACTATGAATTCTGCTTATCTGCATTGCTTCTGTTTCACTTATTTTTACTTTCATATTATGTCTTGTGAATGTTAAACTTAGTCTATTTAAAAGATTTTGTAGTCTGCTACTCTCATTAATTCTAGAACAGGAACTGATCATCTGCAAATAGTAACTCATTTTGCTGAGTGTGTTCCAGGTCGTATTGTGAGGGAAAACAAGAATAGACCCACCGCCTCCTCAGAAAGCATGTCATAATAGTCCATTAATTGGGGTCTTCCTCAGGGTGCATCTGCCTGAGAGGCAAGGAACCAACAGTCTGCATACAAATAAGTCAGATTTGTAAAATGGATGTGCACACAACACACAGGTTCTGGAACAAGTCTAAACTTTAGTCCAGAGGTAGTTGAACAACCAGAACTTTCTTCTGGAGTTTTCAGTCGGTGAATGTGGGGGGGGGGGGGTGGTGGTGGTTAGAAGAAGATTAGCTTATTTATGTGTGTTTAGATCTAAATCTTCCTCTAGAAAGTTAAGTTCCTCAGTTTGTGAGTTTTCTGGGTCAGCTGCTTCAAAGATGGCTTCGTTACATTTTCTGTTTATGCATATATTGAATTTTTTTTTTTTAAATCCAGAAACCATGGGATGCAAACCCTTTCAGAACTGTCGCAACCCTTGGGCCTTGATTCCATGATAGATATCATAAATCTGGGAAATATGTGGCTATAATGCCATACCTGCGAGCGTGGACCCCGACCACAAGAAGTTTATCACCTAGTTGCCATGCAGCTGGCTAAACCAACTTAGCTAGCACACCGGGCGTATATATTGAAGAAGAGATGAGAGAGCACAATTAAAGCATTTTCTATCATACACAGATTAGGGGTTGCTGAAACTAGATATGTTGGTGAAAATTTTGCAGCCTAACTGTAAACCACAGCACAGTTTGCCACCCACCATTTTAAGGATGAATGTAGATGAAAAAGAAGACCACTAAGGAATAGTTATATAATATTATGAAGACATCCATTGTTTTCAAACAATCAGTTAAGCCCTGCTAACTTCATGTAATTTTCTAATTGTTCAGTTCCGTATGCAGCAAGAAATGTTGTGGCATCACCCCTGAACCCAGAAAGTATTATTGTCACCTGGCAACCTCCAGTTAAATACAACGGACCTCCGGAACACGTCAGTTATATTGTGCAGTTTTCCACGGTTACAGCTGAAGGGCATATTCTCAGAGAGACTGAAAATATGATCAATGCTGAAAGTTCTGATGAGTTAATAGAAACAATACTCAAAGACCTGGCACCTAATCATGTTTACAGTATCAAGGTTTGTTTTGTTGGTCATTTTCATTGTAATTATTTGTTCATTTTAGTTCAGAATTGAACTTTTTATTTTGTGTTTGTGTGTGTGTGTGGGTATTTTAGTTCAGTAACCATGTTTATGGCACAAACATTTGTTTTATCAGACCTTTTTTTTGTAATTATTTGTTCATTAGAGTTCAGAATTACAGTATCAAGGTTTGTTTGTTTGACATTTTAATTACAGTAAAAAAAAATTTAGCACTTTCTCTTGCACTTTATCCTACATGTTTGTAACACTACCTCTTGTACTTTACAACGGTCAAAGGTATAACACTGGTTCACATGTGTAACAATGATCATCATCAATGTAAAACTATTCCTTGCATGCTAGAATAGAATAGTTAACATTGTTAACCATTAGATGTCTGAAAAAGGCTGCAAAGAAAACTAGAAGAGTGGAAATATGAAAATTTAAGAGATTAGAAGAACTATTGGAACAGTAGTCATTAGATTTATCAAAAAACAAAGACTGAAATTGGTTTGGCCACCTAGTGAGAAGGAATTTGACAATGCCAGCAACAAGAGCATACAATATGAAAATGGAAATACTAGGAGGCAGAGGGAGACTTAGAAGGAGAGGGATTGAAGGAGTTACTGACTGCCTTAGACTTCACAGCATATCAAGCAGCGGAGCATGCCTTGGCTCGGCTACTTATTTTTTAAATTGCTATGCTTGTTGGCACACAGAAGATATTGGACACCCCCCCCCCCCCAACATGTATTTTTGTCACTGTTATGGTAGCTCTACATTCTAACTTGATACATTCTTACTTGTTACATTACCTGACTTGTTACATTACAGGTGCAGACGTGTACAAACAGGACCATGTGTAACAGCACAGATGTGATTCAAACAAAAACCTTTATGACCCCTAGTGACATTACTTTCCTAAACACCACCTCACATTCCGTTCAGATCCGCTGGATGTCACCACCAGACAATGGAATTCTCAGTCATCAGATTTTCTATGCTGTGGTCAGTTAAATCAGAAGTCTGTGTTCCTTTTAATCAGATTGTCTTGTCTGTGGGTAGTGAATCTAAAATATTTGTTTAATGAACTTACTGCCATGGCTAGTTAAACCAGAAGTCTTGTTTTTGTTTAACCAAATTTCTCTGCTATCATTTTTTTTGTTTAGCTTTTAAAAGTGTCTAGTTTATGGTTAGTTAGACCTGCAAAAGATGTGTTTATGTATAACCAAATTTGTGTGCAGTGATTTATTGAACCTGAAACACAAACCCTTTGGAATCCATGGGTACAAATAGGACACAGAGACCTAAAAGTTTAAGGAGAAGGGATTTGGAGAAAAGGTAAATCAAATCGTGTGAGAGGACTGATTCATTATATAGCGACTACGGTGTTCGGCAATTTGCGGTCTATTGGCAATTTCCGTTACCATGGAAACCATTCGAAACTTGTTTGGGAAATGCCGGCTGGTTTCGGGATGGGTCCCAATCTCTCATGAAATTTTGCGATTGGTGTGGTTTTCACCAGTATAAATAGCTGAAAACGGCGGGAACGAACCCGATTAACAGCCGGAAGTCCTCTGTTTTTATGTTACATCAGTTTTATTAAAAATAGCGATAAGTATTCAAGGTTGGCTTTAGGCTTTAACATTACTAGTACTGGTAATGCTGGTTATAATTGAATTCTCCGTCCAATTTTACATTTGTATATAAAATTTCTTTCGTATCAGTGGCCTTTTAGATTTACAGTGACATTTTTCGGGCAATCGCTAATGTGGCTGTGTCTCATTGTCTGCCATCTTGTCCAATGCAAACAAAGCCAAAACGATAAGTGCGCAGTTTGGTTGCGCAAAGAAAACTTCTTGTTTCACAGACACAAGTTTTCAACAGCTGTTTTTTTTACATCTCATCTCCACAAAAACCTACATATCTCAGCTCAGAAATGACATACAAGCCTAAATGAGGTACCACTGGAAAGAGATTGTTTACAGCTATCTAACTGTGCTGGTTTTATTGGTGTAGAGGGAATTTGACTAAAGTATCCACATTATACCAAGTTCCAGCCCATCTGACTCTAACTTACTTTGCAGGACATCACTCAAAGCACAAACCTCATGGTAAAGTTCTTCTGCTTATTTCATTTGCCTAAATTGTCTGCATCTGCAGTATTTTATTTTTGCCCCCCTGAAATTCACTCTTTTTTTCTTCATCTTTTTCTTAAAAAAAAAGTTTTCCTTTAGTGGCCCACAAATGTTTTACTTTCACTGTTGCTTACCTAGGTCAAATTGTTTGCCTTGATGATTTTACTTTCTGCACATTGCAGGTGAAATCTGGCTTGTTAGACTGGAACATGGAGAAGTACTTGTCATGTGTGAGCAGCAGAGTGTGAGCTAGTAACAGTGTGTGAGCTAGCAACAGTGTGTGAGCTAGCACAGTGTGTGTGAGCTAGCAGCAGTGTGTGAGCTAGCACAGTGTGTGAGCTAGCAACAGTGTGTGAGCTAGCAACAGCTAGTAACAGTGTGAGCTAGCAGCAGTGTGTGAGCTAGTAACAGTGAGCTAGTAACAGTGTGAGCTAGTAACAGTGTGAGCTAGCAGCAGAGTGTGAGCTAGTAACAGTGTGTGAGCTAGCAACAGTGTGTGAGCTAGTAACAGTGTGTGAGCTAGCAACAGTGTGTGAGCTAGTAACAGTGTGTGAGCTAGTAACAGTGTGTGAGCTAGTAACAGTGTGTGAGCTAGTAACAGTGTGTGAGCTAGTAACAGTGTGTGAGCTAGTAACAGTGTGTGAGCTAGTAACAGTGTGTGAGCTAGCAACAGTGTGTGAGCTAGTAACAGTGTGAGCTAGCAACAGTGTGTGAGCTAGCAACAGTGTGTGAGCTAGCAGCAGAGTGTGAGCTAGTAACAGTGTGAGCTATTAACAGTGTGTGAGCTAGTAACAGTGTGTGAGCTAGCAACAGTGTGTGAGCTAGCAGCAGTGTGTGTGAGCTAGCAACAGTGTGTGAGCTAGTAACAGTGTGTGAGCTAGCAACAGTGTGTGAGCTAGCAGCAGAGTGTGAGCTAGCAGCAGTGTGTGAGCTAGCAACAGTGTGTGAGCTAGCAACAGTGTGTGAGCTAGCAACAGTGTGTGAGCTAGCAACAGTGTGTGAGCTAGCAACAGTGTGTGAGCTAGCAACAGTGTGTGAGCTAGCAACAGTCTGGCACAGATAGACTTCTTGTTTCCTTTTACTCTTTTATGTGGAACGTTGAATTAAGAATTTACATCATAGCACACGGGACACCCCCATAAGCACCTCATCCCCATCTTCAGCAGCAAACAAACAATTTCAGTTCTGATGGCACCAGTAACTGTCTGACTGTATTTTCATCCCACCCTTTCCTTGAGTGTTGAGCGTCGGCCAGATCTCCTGGTAACTCATCGCAGCACTATTCTCCTCGGACCATAATGATCTATTTGCGCTTCTGCACTGTTCACTCGCTCCTAGAGGGTACTCAAAACATCTAGCTTGTCATACATTAATTCACCACCAAGTGGTGCAGAACCAGCCACTCTATCTGCCTGTTCATTTCCCAACACACCAGCATTACCTGGTAAGAATATCCAAATCATACTAACTACTGGACCTCTGAAGTGATGCTTGCCACTCTGCATGAAGCATACCTGTCAGCACCTTTCTCAGCATGCTCTGTGAGTCAGTGATTGCTATTTTATGTATAATCATTAAATGAGCCTCATGATGAACATACCCAACATAATATATCTTAGTGAAATATTAGTGTCTACTGAAAAGTTTTTTGTTATCTGTTACTGTACATAGCTGTAAAAACGGAATTATGAATAAAGAAACTGGGGATATGTTTGTGTAGTCAGTCATTCTTTGAAGGAAAGAAAATGTCTCACATGAGATAAAAATATTGTTTTTATTTGCAGTCTCTCATCCAGACCAACCTCTGCCTCCAACTGTCAGTCATCTCAAGTCAGGGGCTTATGAAGTCAGATGGGAGAAACCGGCAGATAATGGTGCTCCAGTTACACATTACATGCTGGAATACAGGTCAGCTCAATAGTGGGTTATATTCTGGGGTGATTTAGGTTTTGTATGATGTCACATTTGTTTGTTGGTTTTTTGGGGGTTTATTTTTGTTTTTAAACCTGATGGAAGCCAACCTCTGGGGACAATATTTTCAGCAGTCTTATTATATGAGACATTTGCGGCCTCTGCACCTTGCGTTGGTTTCGACAGTGGTATCGAGAAGCCGACCGTCCAGAAAGCAAAGGCAAACTACTGGACATAAATTTGCCTAGAAAAACCACAGCCAAAAAATGCTAGGGTTGGTTCAGTAATGTAAGGATACGCAACTAACAAACAAAATTGATTGATTGGTATAGACTGCTTTATTATCAATTTTTATAGCAGCATATTGTTTCCAGTATATGTTCATAATCATTCTAAGGTCTTTCCCATCAGTATGTAAATTTGTAAGCATTTTTATCATGTTGATATGTCTTACTATAATGGGAAGAAAATATTGAAGCCTTTATTTCCAGTCATTTATTACAAGAAGCCAGCATTTAACGTCATATTCAAAATCAATAATCTTCTGTAATCACATGTTTGCAATATAATTTATTCAACAGAAATGTAGAGAGCGGGACCTGGAAGGAAGCCTACAATGGCTCTATAGAACGTTGGCTAGTAGAGTCCTCAAAGTTGAAACAAGGAAAGTCTTATATCTTCAGAGTTGCTGCTGTCAACTCAGAAGGCATTGGATTATTCAGTGACAACAGTACTGTGTTTTTAGCAGCTCCATATGGTAATAAATTTGTGATCTTAGTCTTTCTTTTTCTACTTTGGATTTTGTCTTGTTTATTTTAGTATATTTTTGTATGCATAATCTTTATTTCAGGTCTGCTAGTGCTCATGGGGATCAAATTCTGAGGCTTTTGTGGTGGTAATGGGGTATGCTAATTCAATCCCCTGGAGTTGCTGTTGTGACATTGTAGTATTAGTGTCACATCTGTCAGTTCCCTGTGTGGGTTCTGGGGGGGGGGGGGGGGGGTCATTTGCAGGAGGAGGGTGAGGGTCAGGGTGTTGGCAGTAGCCCCCGATTAGCACATTGTAAAGGACTTTGCTGAAATTGAATGTAGTGGGTCAAAACATGTAGATATTGCAGTCTAGCTGTAAACAAAGAATGCTAGCAGCCATTTCACAGGTGAATGCCTTTCCTCTCTCTTTCTGCCTCCTCCCCCTCGTCCACCATCGGTTTATATGGATTCCTTGATAAGTGCTGTAGTTTTATTTGCAGATGAAGCATATAATCTATCTCAGCACAGTTCACAAACTGCCTGACCCCATCAACAATCTAAGTGTCTATACCAGAATCACACGCTATACATTTTCCCTATATGTATGTATTTTTGTGTGTGTTATTTATGCCTCAGCTGAAATCTTTAGATACTGTTTGTGTTGGCACTTTTGATGACTGCCTCTAATTAGTGTGTGTGCTATTGGCTTTGTAAAAACTAATCTATTTCTATTGCTGTCAAAATTACAGCAGTGCACATTCTGTGTGGTTTTTGCTGGCACAAGAATGAAGAAGTGATGGAGTCTCATGTTTTTCATTAAACTGTCACTAACAAACTGACTAACATGTTTGCATTTATCTGAGATGGCTAGGCATCAGATCCACTACCTGGGTGCTGAGCATAAGCATACCATTCTATTTCCTATTGTCTGAAACTAGGAACCAGGTTTCAGCCACAAATATGAAGCCATGTTTCCTTGTCACACATTGACATGCATAACATTTGAATATATATACCATCTTATGCAACCTTACTGTTTGCACTCCTCAGCTGTAGAAAGCAGCGTCATTGACCACATCACAATTGGGGTCATCGCGGGGATTGCTGTCCTGCTGTTGAGCCTTATACTGGCTGTGGTTCTAGGTGAGTGCTAGCTGGCATTAATTCTCTCTCTCTGTTGTTCCTTTGAAGTTTTTTTCTGGGCTGCTACATTCAGTTTAATTACACAATCTTGGTCTGTGTAGCCAGGTCAGGGCAAATCCCAGGTACCCCATTCCAGATAAGTTGCAACTGGGGCAGATCTCAGGTACCCCATTCCATATAAGTTGCAACTGGGGCAGATCCCAGGTACCCCATTCCAGATAAGTTGTAACTGGTGCATATCCCGTTAGGATTCTCCAGGAATGCAGGAAAGACAAATTAAGTTGATCCTCTCGACTTTAATGAAGTCATTTAGAGCAGTAATACATTTTTTGACTTAACTTGTAACTTTGACTTGTACTGAATGATTTAAAATGGCTTCAAGAGTTTGATCCATATATTTGACCTAATTTGGACCTGTAAACCCTCATTGAGAGTAGCCAGAGTAGTTTAATAAAATAAGTTAATAAGTGTCAAGGAGTTTATATTTAAAAAAAAAAAAAAAAAAAAAAAAAAAAAAAAAAAAAAAAAAAAATGGGTGGTGCAGTTTTTCTAGAGTTGAGATTTTTCATCAAATGTGTGCCCATTTATTGAACATTTATGAATTCTTTGTTTCATTCTTCAGTGATTCGCAAACAGTACAAGAAGAAAAAAATTCAGCAGTTTATCATCAGAGGACCAGACACTGAACTTGCAACCCTGAGAGAACTACCACGTACAGCCTTTCAAACAAGCAACACATTATATGCTATGAAGTACGTATTATGAAGTTGATTTATCAGAAATTTTTGGAAAACCGAGAAGTAGACAACTGTTTTCATGCTGTGATGCATAAATAGTGCTAAGCTAAACTTGGAATAATTGACTATTAATGGTTTATGTGATCAGTATAATGCTGATCGCCTTTACTTCCCATGTAATTTCATCGTATTCATTTTAGACTGAAGTGACATCGTAGCCCAGGTTAGTAAAAAAATGTTTGCCTTCAGGGAAGGAATGTTTTGAGCATATGACAGTCATGATGGATGGCTAGTATATACATACTGCATCAATTATAATCTGCCCACTGAAGGTTGACTATGATGCTACCTCTTCAGCATACTCAGTTTGCGTCTTCATGGGGCATTCACACAGGGCTTCCTCCATTCTATCTCTTGATGTTGTCCATCTCTTGATTTTGTTGATCTCTTGATGTTTTCTATCTGTTGATCTTGTCCATTTCTTGATGTTGTATGTCTATTGATGTAGTCTTAGTATTGATGTAGTCTATCTCTAAATCTTGTCCATTTCTTGATTTTGTCTGTCTCTTGATGTTGTTCATTTCTTGATTTTGTCTGTCTCTTGATGTTGTCCATTTCTTGATGTTGTCTGTCTCTTGATGTTGTTCACCTTTGATGTTGTTCATCTCTTAATCATGTCTGTCTTTTGATGTTATTCATCTCTTGTTGGTGTTTGTCACTTGATTTTGACTATTTCCTGATGTCTGTCTCTTGATGTTGTCTGTTTATTGATGTTGTCCATTTGTTGATGCTGTCTGTCTCTTGATCTCATCAATTTTTTGACGTATGTCTATTAATGCTGTCTGTCTCTTGATGCTCATCTCTTCATCATATCAATTTTTTGATGTATGTCTCTTAATGTTGTCTGTCTCTTGATGTTCATCCCTTCATCATATCAATTTTTGATGTTATCCATCTCTTGACCATGTCCATCTTTGATATTGTTTATCTTTTGATCATGTCCATCTTTGATGTTTTCCATCTTTTTATCGCGTCTGTCTTTGATGCCCATCTCTTCGTCATGTCCATCTTTGTTGTTGTTCATCTCCTGATCATGTCGTGTCTCTACATCGGAAGTCAGCTGTGATGACTCTTTAGCACTAAACTGTCTTGTATCTTTATGTTGTTTTCATACTGGCTTTTTCTGGTTCACCTGGTCCTACTTGAATGTTGTCCTCCCACAACTATCTGTAGGTAGATTCATCAGTTGTCCTCCCACAACTATCTGTAGGTAGATTCATCAGTTGTCCTCCCACAACTATCTGTAGGTAGATTCATCAGTTGTCCTCCCACAACTATCTGTAGGTAGATTCATCAGTTGTCCTCCCACAACTATCTGTAGGTAGATTCATCAGTTGTCCTCCCACAACTATCTGTAGGTAGATTCTTCAGTTGTCCTCCCACAACTATCTGTAAGTAGATTCATCAGTTGTCCTCCCACAACTATCTGTAGGTAGATTCTTAAGTTGTCCTCCCACAACTATCAGTAGGTAGATTCATCAGTTGTCCTCCCACAACTATCTGTAGGTATATTCGTTTCGTCAGTGGATCACTTTCTGTAGGTATGCTTTCTTCCGTGGGTAGATTTCCTTCTATGGTTAGTTTTCCTTCCATTGGAAGTTTCCATTGTGAGATTTCCTTCCTAGGTAGATTTTCTTAACTAGCAACTTTTCATGGGCAACAGCTTACTGTTTGCTAAATCAATTCATGGTAATTGAGATTCTTCTGTGTGATCTGTGGGAGGAGACTGAAGCAGCATTGGAGATACCTGTGTGCAGTGAAAATAATACTTTACAACAACAACAAAAACCAATTCTCCCCCCTCTCTCTCTCTCTCTCTCTCTCTCTCTCTCTCTCTCTCTCTCTCTCTCTCTCTCTCTCTCTCTCTCTCTCTCTCTCTCTCTCTCTCTCTCTCTCTCTCTCTCTCTCTCTCTCTCACACACACACACACACACACACACACACACAGAATTGAAAGGACTGATCCTTTGAAAATTTACTCAAAATTATTATGTTCTGTTACAGCATTCAGTGTACAGATGAAGAGATTGCCAAACTGCCCCATTTCAGTCGCAGCCAGCTAGTTCTAACTATGTTTTTGGGAAGTGGTGCCTTTGGTGAGGTCTTTGAGGGTCTGGCTAAGAATATCCTGGGGGACAGCACCGGTGAAACCAAGTGTGCAGTGAAGGTAAGCACACAGCACAATATTTCTGGGGAAGCTTGTATTTTGTAGATGCCACAGACTGAATAAGTCAGTTTTATTTTTGTTTTTGTTTTAGAGAAGTATACACAAAAGCTAACAGTAAATGTTGCCAATACACATGCATCTGTTGGTACTTTTTCCTCTTTCCAGACGATAGTATTATTCTGCTATGAGGAGTCATGGGACTCACAGTCCATGGCAATGGCGAGTGTGACTAGCAAGGCCCCCCCGTGTTAAGAAAAGTCTTCCACAATTACAGCATGGGATTTCAGGACGGTTGCTGCCATCATTTGTATTTAGTTTGTTTCTTCTCAAACGTTTAGCATCCATCCTTTATGCAATCGTTTGTTCCTTCATTTTCACTCCATTCCTTTTTGCTCCTGTTACGCAACACAATCCATGGTATTTTGTTTCAACAAATCCTCTCGAACACCTCTGTCATGTCCCTCTTGCACAGATCTTTATATCATGGTCGAGATACGCATGCATCTAATGGCTAACTGACTGACAACATACCTGCATTGCTGTTTTAAAAGTCCAGTTAAAAAAAAAAAAACAACCTGTCCTTATATTCTTGTGTATATTCACATTTCAAGAGCCTTAGTTCAGTTTTATGTTTCTTCTTCTTTACGTCTTCTTTTACCGCTTCTGGTGTTGAGGGAGACATAAGGTCCTGCTCTTACAGGGTCATAGAAATAAAAACCAACTAGCTTTTTTGACCATAGACACATGGTAGTGCTGTAGTTTATCTCATGTAATCTTCCCATCTTTTTCTTGGTCTACCTCTTGCTTTACGTCCTTCTCTTTTCATATTTGCCTTGTATAGTATATCATCAGAAGACATTCTCTCCAGGTGAGCAAACCATTTGATTTGCTGTCTTTGTATGTAATATAGAATTGGTTCTGTGCAGTTTTGTGTTTGCTTGCTCTAATGTATCGCATTTGTTTCTACCAGACCTTGAGAAAAAGTGCTTTGGAACATGAGAAAGAAGAGTTCCTAAAAGAGGCTTTGCTCATGAAGAACTTTCGCCATGAGCATATCCTGAGTCTGCTGGGGGTTTGCCTGGACAATGATCCTCAGTTCATCATCATGGAACTAATGGAGGGTGGAGATTTGCTTTCTTTTCTCAGAAGTTGCAGAGCTACCACGGTGAGTGACACAATTTTGTACAGTGTTGGGGAACCTAGTTTTTCTGTTGCAGAACATACAAACTATCAACTTACCATTTAGATGGCTGTATTTGGTTAAACAGTTAATTACAGTTGCCTTGGCAGAGTCAAATCAAGTAATTAAGAGGCTTTTTGTGGGCCTGATGTTTCATACCCTGGCTCTAGAGAAAATTTATTTATGGTTTTTTTTTTTTAAACTGCTTGTGAAAAATCGTCAGTTCGATTAACACTCACCTTGTCTGGGTTCAGGAGGGTGGGGGGCAGTAGAACCACTGACCCTGTAACAAGCATGTTGTAAATGATGACTCTAAGAGTTTTGCTGATATTTGATATTCTAAGCCGGAAGTATGAGATATTGCAGCTTAGCTGTAAACCATGCACCAACTACCCTTCTGAGGACAAGCTCAGAAGAAGAAAAATTTACACTCATAGAAATAGAGGAGATTAGGGAGTACACACGAAACCAGTGGTTCTCAGTTAGCTAGGTCTGTCGGGGACCTCGTACTTTTTAATAGTCATACTAAAGAACTTATTTATAAATACTGGATTCGCATCAAAGATTGCTTTCTCAGGTTAGAGGGTTTTGTAAATGATATGGCAAACCCAGACCACCCAGTGTAAAACACTGCATTTGACATTTACGAAATTGAAGCTACAATAATTTAAAAAAAAAAAAAAAAAACACCAAATGGTGACACCTTGGTGTAAAAAAAAAAATTCGGTCACAAAAAGCAAGTTAAATGCGCTTCTACCTGTAGACATGTAATGTTGTAATTGTGAAACCTGTAGACATGTAATGTTGTAATTGTGAAACCTGTAGACATGTAATGTTGTAATTGTGAAACCTGTAGACATGTAATGTTGTAATTGTGAAACCTGTAGACATGTAATGTTGTAATTGTGAAACCTGTAGACATGTAATGTTGTAATTGTGAAACCTGTAGACATGTAATGTTGTAATTGTGAAACCTGTAGACATGTAATGTTGTAATTGTGAAACCTGTAGACATGTAATGTTGTAATTGTGAAAGCTGTAGACATGTAATGTTGTAATTGTGAAAGCTGTAGACATGTAATGTTGTAATTGTGAAAGCTGTAGACATGTAATGTTGTAATTGTGAAAGCTGTAGACATGTAATGTTGTAACTGTGAAAGCTGTAGACATGTAATGTTGTAACTGTGAAAGCTGTAGACATGTAATGTTGTAATTGTGAAAGCTTTTGTGGCTGGCACTTTTGTAGCCCTCCTGGTGGTCATATTTTTGAATAATTCTCAAGGCAGGGAATTAAAAACCGTATCTTCAGTCAAGCATAAAAATGGTATCAGGAAATATTCTGAGATGCTGGGATGATATGGAGCACATCACCTGTGAAGTTATGATTGGTCTGAAACAGTGTTTCCCAATGTGGGGTTCATGCTCATTGATGTTGGAGGGGGGGGGGGGGGGAGAAGAGGGGGGGGGGATTAAAAATGGACTCCTCCAGAGTTTAAGTTAACCATCTGGCAATGTTACCCAGGGGGCATAAGAATTATAGAAAGGCTTTGGTGGGGCACGGTACAGAAAAGGTTGGGAAACACTGGTCTAAAATGAAGTGTTGATTGGTCTATAACCCGTTAGGCTAAGCTAAGGCTCTGAATTCAACACTTGTCTAGGAACAAGACCTTTATTTTTCTGCTTATTATCATTCTGCTTTGCTATGCACCACCTCCTCTCAAGCAGTACCATGGATTATGTTAAGGTATTTGGAGGTACATATACATTAACATATGTATTAATTATATGTTTAAAAAATTTTTTTTTAAATTTTTTTTTTTTAAACAAAAATTATATAATAGGCACACCCAGCAAGTTTACTTCTGCCAGACCTGGTGAAAATCTGTGTCCACGTGGCCAGGGGATGTAAATATCTGGAGGACATGCATTTTGTTCATAGGTGAGTAATTTACCCCTGCCAAGTCTCATTTTATTTGTTCTTCTGCTGTTCAGCACCAGGTTAAAAAGAGACAGCTGGATTGAGCCTTGATGTGAGCTGTTGTCCCAATGCCCATGACTCACATCCAAATGTATGTCAGGACTGGTACATAGGCAGAGCGGTATATCACCATTTTTGTCCTGCTAATTTCTCTTTTGTGCAAGAAACCCCCGGTTCATGGCCTGGCATCGTCTCTCAGCTGCTGCTTTTAATGCTGCCAACACTGACTTGATGTCTCCATTCTGGTCTATTACAACTCACTACCATTAGATTAAGTGAATAAAACTTTGTTCTGAATACAAGAAACTGGAAGACAAAGTCTATTTGGGCATCTGATCAGAATGCAACAACTTCAGTTACCAACACATGCTGTACATCTGTGAAGAGCTCATATAAAAGGAAGAGATACTCAAGAAGAAGATGGATTGATGACAATAAAGACATTGTAAAGTTTTATACCCATAGGGTTATAGAAATAAAAACCAACTAAAAAACACTTAGAGAAGGTAACTAACTAGAGAGTGAAGATCAGAGGAATAGGGGTCAACTGCATGCTATAGACTAAAGGAATGGATGGATGACTTGGTGAGTTGGTTGAGGTCCTATGCTCCATTTAGGGATAGACTTAAGAAAAAAGTCACATGACATAATATTAGCTAGTACTACAGCTTGATTACTAAACCACCAACTGTTCTTCCCCTATTGATGCTCATACTTGTCTCTAAATACCTGCAGGTTACACCAGGCTGGTTTGGCCTTTATGTGTGCCCTAATTAAATAACTTCCTTGGAGGTTGAACAGATTATCTAGGCTTGCAAAGTTGTTCTGCCACCAGCATCGAGACTTCTGTGACTTTTGGACAGTATTGTAGAGACCATGCAGCATGATCTCTTCCTTGGTCTGCTTTGTTAATGCCAAAGGATAAAACTAACATGTTTAAAAAGAATCATTAAAGTGATCAGGAAACCACCAGCCCCAGCACAAGATGGCTATTTTATTATGGACAGATCAGAACAAGTCATCATCCTCCGCCTCAGAACAGGCCACAACCAATTGCGTAACCACATGTACACAAAAGTCAAGATAGGCATATCAGCCATGTGCATCTGTGGAAAGGTGCCCCAGACAGCAGAGCATGTACTCAAGGACTGCACCGAATTTAACACATTAAGGCAAACCTTTTGGCCAAAAAGAACATCAGTGGAACATAAACTCTATGGACCACTGAATGAACTAACAAAAGTGAAATTTATACAAGAGACAAAACTGCTGATATAGACAACTTATTTCAGGCCAATGAAAGAAGAAGAAGAAGATATGTTTGGAATAAAGCATGTTGCAGAAGCTGCATGATCAGAAGAGCTACCATTTGAAAAGGCAAAAAAGGTGTAAAGACAATTTTGTTACTAACTTCAGTAAAACACAGAACTATGAGGTTGGAAGATAGCCGACTAGCCACATTTCTTTTGGCTTTTTAAAAATTCACCAAATCAAATATTCTCATTTATTCTACAGAGATTTGGCGGCAAGAAATTGTCTTGTATCATCAAAATCTACGGCAAACATGATCGTTAAGATTGGAGACTTTGGTCTTGCACGTGATATATACAAAAATGATTACTACCGGAAAGAAGGTGAGGGACTATTGCCTGTGCGATGGATGTCCCCGGAATCTCTCGTTGATGGTTTCTTTACAACACAGTCTGATATATGGTGAGTAATATTTGTTAGCAGAGAAAAAGAGAGTGTGTGTGCATGCGTGGGGGGGGGGGGGGGGGGGGGGGGGCTGAGTAGTGTTGATAATATTAAGCTGATAACTTATAAATTAGTATCTAAATGAGTAATAGTAGGAATTTATAATTATTAACTGAATATATGAATGTCTAGTAAATGAATTATATTAATGATAACTTGGTAGTAATTGTAATATATGAATTATGGCCTTGTAGGAATGGTAACTAAGAATAAATGATAATTTGGCAGGAATTAGAATATATAAATGATAGACAACTTGGCAGAAATGGTAATATTTGATTAACGATAACAAATTAGTAATGATATTGTGCCTGTTTGGCTGAGCCAAGCTGAGAATTGTACATTTTTAAATGAATGATAAACTAAAAGAACTAAGGAATAAAGTTATTCAATGAAAATATTTGTGAAAATAGAAGGCTTAAGTATTTAAACAAGTATCTTGGTTCTTGATGACTAGGGCCTTTGGTGTTCTCATGTGGGAAGTAGTCACTCTGGGCCAGCAGCCCTACCCTGCCAGGACGAACATCGAAGTGCTGCACTTTGTGAGGGACCGGGGTAAACTGGAGCGCCCAGACAAGTGTGCTGATGAAATGTAAGCTTTTGCCTGTCTGTCACTGGTGCTCTGTATAGCTGTCTGTCTCTGGTGCTGTGTTTTGCTGTCTGTCTCTGGTGCTCTGTGTAGCTGTCTGTCTCTGGTGCTCTGTATAGCTGTCTGTCTCTGGTGCTCTGTATATCTGTCTGTCTCTGGTGCTGCGTTATGCTGTCTGTCTCTGGTGCTCTGTACAGCTGTCTGTCTCTGGTGCTCTGTATAGCTGTCTGTCTCTGGTGCTCTGTATAAATGTCTCTGGTGCTTTGTATAGCTGTCTGTCTCTGGTGCATTGTATAGCTGTCTGTCTCTGGTGCTCTGTATAAATGTCTCTGGTGCATTGTATAGCTGTCTGTCTCTGGTGCTCTGTATAAATGTCTCTGGTGCTTTGTATAGCTGTCTGTCTCTGGTGCATTGTATAGCTGTCTGTCTCTGGTGCTCTGTATAAATGTCTCTGGTGCATTGTATAGCTGTCTGTCTCTGGTGCTCTGTATAAATGTCTCTGGTGCTTTGTATAGCTGTCTGTCTCTGGTGCATTGTATAGCTGTCTGTCTCTGGTGCTCTGTATAGCTGTCTGTCTCTGGTGCTCTGTACAGCTGTCTGTCTCTGGTGCTCTGTATAGCTGTCTGTCTCTGGTGCTCTGTACAGCTGTCTGTCTCTGGTGCTCTGTATAGCTGTCTGTCTCTGGTGCTCTGTATAAATGTCTCTGGTGCTTTGTATAGCTGTCTGTCTCTGGTGCATTGTATAGCTGTCTGTCTCTGGTGCTCTGTATAGAGGTCTGTCTCTGGTGCTTTGTATAGCTGTCTGTCTTTGGTGCTCTGTATATCTGTCTGTCTTTGGTGCTCTATATAGGTGTCTGTCACTGGTGCTCTGTATATCTGTCTGTCTTTGGTGCTCTATATAGGTGTCTGTCACTGGTGCTCTGTATATCTGTCTGTCTTTGGTGCTCTATATAGGTGTCTGTCACTTGTGGTCTGTATAGCTGTCTGTCTCTGGTGCCCTGTACAGCTGTCTATTCATCTGTTTGTCTGCATGTCTATCTGTCCATCCATCCATCTATGCATTATATGTAAAGTACACTTTCTGGTGAAAGATGGATGATTGAAAGGGCCCCTTGTAAGATGGGCCTGCATGCCCAAGTTGTGACGCTTTGAAAATAAGGCCTGTTAATTCTATCCCACCTTCCTTTCATGTACACGTTTGTTTTTACCTGTCTCTCCCCGTATATCCTCGGCTCTATCTCTGTTTCTTCCACACTCTAACTCTGTGCTTTATATCCCTTCACTATTCTCGGTCAAGAGAGCAGATTAACAAAAAGTGTTTGGGAGAACAGAAAGCTTATGATAGAAACAAAAACTCTTGTCTATCAGGCCTGTGTTTCTCAGCACACGGCTTAATGGCAGTGAAACTTGGTCAACTTACTTGCACCAGGAGAAATGGCTAGACAGCTTTCACATCTGATGCCTAAGAAGAATACTTGGCATTAAGTGGCAGGACAAGATCAACGCTGAGGTATTGGAAAGAGCAGGTATTACAACAGTCTTTTCAATGCTCAGTCTACAAAGGCTCATGTGGCTGGTCTCACACATGGAGGATAGCAGTCCCTAAGGACATCCTCTATGATGAATTTAAGATAGGTAGAAGATGTCAAGGCCGCCCCCCCTCCCCCTCCCCCCTCTGCCCCCTTAAATTTGTTATGAAACAGTTTGTTAAATGAATTTTTTATAAATGGTCATGTTCTTTTTTTTTATTTTAATAAATGATTTTTGTGCCTTCTAGGTACTCTTTAATGAATAAATGTTGGGACTTTCTTGCTGACCATCGTCCAAGTTTTGCTGACCTTTTGGCAGAGCTAGAAACTTTCCAAGAAAAATGCAGCCATATGACACTGGCAGAAATTGCCCAGTTTTCTCCATCAGTCACAGGTAAGTGAAAGCTTTGGTGGACTTATGTCAACTTTCACAAGTTTAGAATCATTTTTTTTCCATGTGGGTTTCGGAGCCCCATTTTAGAGAAAAGAGTAGGCCCTGATTTAACAAACATCTTCTAAAAGGCGATTAGTTAAGACTACTGAAATTGAATGTATTGAAATGAAAGATGCACATATCACAGCCTGGCTGTAAACCACAACACAGCACATGGTGATTGCATGGTGTTTACCTGGTGGAACATGAAAAGTCAGTAAGATAAATATCATGGATTGAGTTAGATGGAAATCACTGACAAACAATGTTCATGAGTTGAGTGAGATGGGAATCAATGACATAACAATTGTTTGTGGGTTGAGTGAGATAGGAGTCACTGGGAGAAATGTTCATTGGTTGAGTAAGATAGGAGTCACTGGGAGAAATGTTCATTGGTTGAGTGAGATGTGAATCACTGACTAGAAAAATGTTCAGTGTTGGACAGGAATCGCTACAAAAGAAAGGTTAGCAGATTGGAATGAAAATAATGATAAGGGAAATAATTCACATTATGAGAAGAGGGATCACTGTCAAGGAAATTTTGACAGCTTTACCCTGTACTGTGTTTTTTGTCAGGTCTTGCCATCTCCAACAGTGCGTTTACTGACATCTTTCCATGCCTTGACAAAAGGTTGTTAAGAATCTGCTCTTGTTATGTTTCTTTATCTGTCCATACATCTTTTCCAGTGGTGCACTTAGAATAACGTGTGATCATTTTGGCAGGTGGAGGCTCAATCAGGTTGACCCAGTCAGGCAAACAAAGGAGGCTGAATGATCTGTTGCATTCCTCTGACACAACAGAGAAGGTACAGTTTGTTAACATTAGTTCACTTTGATGTGTTTGCCACAGTGGTTCTGGTTGCTTGTTGGATTTGAATGTTTATAGTTCTTGACACATGAAGCATATTGCTTGCACAAGCATTTCATCTCTCTAAAACGTATACACTACAAAAAGTAAATCATAACAACTGAGGTTTGTGTAAGAAGAGCTGCCTGAGTGAAATAAAAGATAAAAGGAAACATTAGAAGAAGACAAGGATTTAAACCAGTCACACAGTTCATTATAAAAGAATATATTAAATGGTTTGGCTGTCTGACAAAATTATCTAATATTAACTACTAAAAAGAGCCATGCTGAAGAAATATAATGAACACAGATCAAGGGGAAGACCATGCAAGAAATGGAATAAATGTATAAAGAACAACCTTTGAGAAATCAAGACACTTTATGCAGCACATTGGAAAGGCACACAGAAGATCATTGCATACCAACACATTCATCCCCCCTTCAACTCTCTCTCTCTCTCTCTCTCTCTCTCTCTCTCTCTCTCTCTCTCTCTCTCTCTCTCTCTCTCTCTCTCTCTCTCTCTCTCTCTCTCTCTCTCTCTCTCTCTCTCTCTCTCTCTCTCTCTCTCCCTCCTTTGCCACTCCCCCCCACACACACACACACACAAAGCCCTCAATATTTTGCTAGGTAAGGTAGCAGAAGCTTCTGAAGATTGTGCCTGTACTTCTTTTAGTATAGCAGTGTGACCGAACCAAACTGGTTGTATTGCCTTTTTATTCTACTGTATTTGTTTAATACTAAAGACAAAGATATGCTATGCTTCGATGCACGTTTGTTTTATTGTTTTGTGTTTTCTGTTACTATTTCAGCTGGTGGTTGACCTTACCAAGATTGGCAGAAAGCGAACTCATTCTCTTGATGATGAATCAAAACACACATCCCAGTACAGTGCTTCTGGCTCCAGAGATGACTTTCCTGCGGCAGGAGAATATGACCACAATGGTTACTTGGAACCTCGAGGTGGCAAAGGCAGGTACCTGGATTTGATGAATTATGCCCCTGAGCTCAGGCTTCTAAAAGACCCATATGGAAATCCACTTGTCTCAGCAAATGGATCCTCTTTGCCTTCTGTACATGTGACCCGCAAGGGGTATTATCCATCCCACGTTAATTACATGCTTCTGCCCCCTGAAGAAGATGCAGAAGATGTTGAGTGCCATAGAAGTGGTGATTTTGGTGCAGAAGACTCCAGGTATTGTTCCCAGTCATCGTCCAGGGACAAGTCGAGACATCCTTATGGTTTGATCTCCGTGGAAGAGTCTCCTGTATATTCCAGGGTCGTGGATGATCATCAGCATTATTCCTCATCTTCTGGCCGGGAGTTTGCAGATGTATACTACCACCCTCAGTCCATGAGAGCTCCTTCAGGAGCAGCAGTGATGGTGCCCTCATCGCGACAGCGGAAGTTCTCAGACCAAGACCTCTACAGCAGCACAGCTCCATACAGACAGCGACATCCTTCGTCCTCCAGCTCATGCCAGGACCATCGGTACGCCTCTGTTGAGTGTAACAACAACCGCAACAGCATCACCAACAGCAACTTCAGCAATGGCTCTGTTTTCTTATGTGATGGTGGTGGTGGTAGTAGCAGCAGCAGCAGCATCAGAAACCGAAATGGTTCTGGTAGTAGCTACCACACTTACGCCAAACCAGGATTAGCTTTCAACATGAACGTGAACTTACCCCCTCCTGTGGAGGACATCAGCGCCAAACTGTCCTCCAGCCATGACACATGGGCCAATAACTCTGATGACGTGTTTATAGATGACACAGCTTCTCACTGCTCCAGTCAACTCGTACCTGAATTTATAACCTATCAGGGTCGCAGTCTTTGTTCTTCTCAGTCAGAAGGTCAAGGGTATATAGAGGAGAGCACTGCCCTGGTTGGGTATGAGGAGCCCCAGGTCAGTTTAGTTTAAGGGGGGGGGGGGGGGTGTACATTTTATGAGATCATTCTGAAGGAACAGGAGAAGCAGTATTCATTTTAAATATGCCATCTGTGTGAATATTCTAGAAATATTTGTGTGTTAGAAAGTACGGACATCTGTCAGAATAATCCAGAAGAGAGTGTAGAGTGAGAACACAGAAATCTCATTGATGTAAATAATAAAATTGGGCTGTTTCTGAAGAAAGTATGAAACAGAAAGTATGACTATATCTGTCTGCATGTTCCAGAAAGATAGTGCATCTTGTTCATAATTTGAGGACATTAAAGTCTCATTTTAATGATTATAAAAACTTGACCAGTTTGGAAAAACCTGTTTACTACATACAATGCTGTGCTAATTGTTGGACTGTTGTTTATTACTATAGATATGTACAGGAAGTCTGTATTTCTGCAGACATTGTTACACTGACTTTGTGAATGTTTTCGCACAACTTGAAGCTGTGAATTGGTGATTTAGTGTATTTTTTCACACATGAAGAAGTGAATTTGGTGATACAAGCATTCACATTCAATGCTGGTGAAAAACATTTTGATTCTTAGTATTACTGTTAAGGGACCAGGTTGTTCAAGTCGGGAACAACCCAGTTATTTTGTGCCTTGTGTTCTTAATAAAATATTTTTGGAATTGTATTATTTTGTTTCATTACATTTTGTGCCTCCTTTATTGAAAGTATTTGTTAAACGTTGATCTTTTGTGTCTTTCCTATGACAACATACATCGAGATGCGAATAATGAATATGATATTATCATTATCAAGTGCCTTGAGGATTGTCCATTAGTGCCCTAATTTCTTAAAACCTGTATATTTTAGCTTGTCACTTTAATCCAGTTGCTTTCTCCAATAGACACACTCTGCCTTCTCCCACAGATAAATGGTGCCTTCTCTCTGAAATATACTGCCTTATCCCATGCCTTCTCATGCAGAAAGTTTCTCTCACAGACAGATCCTGTCTTCTCCCACAGACAGATATTGCTTTCTCCCACAGACACTGTTTTCTCCCACAGACAGATACTACCTTCTCCCACAAACAGAGACTACCTTCTCCCAGACAGATACTACCTTCTCCCACAGACAGATATTGCTTTCTCCCACAGACACTGTTTTCTCCCACAGACAGATAACTACCTTCTCCCACAGACAGATACTACCTTCTCCCACAGACAGATACTACCTTCTCCCACAGACAGGTACTACCTTCTCCCACAGACAGATACTACCTTCTCCCAGACAGATACCAACTTCTCCCACAGACAGATACTGTCTTTTCCCATAGACACTGTCTTTTCCCATAGACACCGCCTTCTCCAACAGACAGATACTACCTTCTCCCACAGACAGATACCGATAGATACTGTCTTTTCCCACAGACACCACCTTCTCCAACAGACAGATACTACCTTCTCCCACAGACAGATACCGACTTCTCCCATAGACACTGCCTTCTCCCACAGACTCGCACCACCTTCTCCCACAAACAGACACTGCCCTCTTCCACTGACATACTACCTTCTCCCACAAACAGACACTGCCCTCTTCCACTGACATACTACCTTCTCCCACAAACAGACACTGCCCTCTTCCACTGACATACTACCTTCTCCCACAGACAGACACTACCTCATCCCACAAACAGATACTACCTTCTCCCACAAAAACTACCTTCTCCCACAGACAAACACTACCTTTTCCCACAGCCACTGCTTTTCTTTAAACCATCTGTATCTTGGAAGTTGTAAATCTAGCTAGTCTGAACTAAAGTATCCCAGCATCATTCCATTCCAGATTTTATTACTTTATTTTAATCAACTGTGTCACCATTACTTTTTCAACCCCTCTGACAGAATTAAGATGTCAGTTCCTCAAGCAGACATTCATAATTAAAAGTAACCATCTTATTGAAAAGTTCGACAATGACACTGCCAGTTTGAAAAGTCTTTTAATCATCTTGTAAATAGACTTGGTTATTGATTTCGTTTGCTTGTTACTATTCCATTCATATAATCCCTTTGACTGTTCACAATTTGTGTGTACCTGTGCTTATATTCAAAATTTGTGTGTGAGCACATGCTTGTGTTCACAACTTTTGTGTGTGTATACATTTGTGTGGGCAGTGTTTCAGCATAATGATTGGTGGTTCAATTTAGTACATAATTTATAACCTGACATTTATGGATTAAATCCTGAGGTTGAGAATTCTCTACTTGTAAAATCAGTTTATTTATCTTGCTAAAGATATGAGTTTTTTTTTTTTAATTGTAGTGCTGTAATTGATAATACAAAGGCTAACAATTTGCTGCATAAGTTTCCTACATATGTAAAGTAAAAATCTAAAAGACTCTTTTCTGCACCTTCAGGCATATTATATAGGGCCAGACCTGTATTTTTTAGACCAGTTGGCACTCAGTGGATGATGTGGTCTTCATCACGCTGGCCACATTTGCTCCCCAGGAATTTACCTGGTACCCATTTAAAGCTGAGTCGGCCTGATTGATACACATGTAAATTTAAAACTAATGCGGACAGTTTTGAATTTTATAGCGCGCATTGTTTAGCTTTACTTGCATTTGTATCTTCACCCTTACCAGGACTGCAGGTTAGCAGGCTGGAGAAGCCATTATGGATGCCCCAGTTAAAACTTCTTTAGAGGTTGAACAGGTTTTCTGGGATTTGCTCTGTTTGCTTGGCATTCAGAGATTTTGTAGTCTCACGGTAGTCAAATTTGCAGCCTGCAGGTGGGAAACAGAAACGAGATTGTATTTTCATGTTCTTTGTTTTTGTGTGCATGATGGTGAGATTTTCCTTAGGAATCTATTACAGAGGACTGAAGCACGTCTGCAGATACCTTATAGTGATGAAGGGGGATCTTTGACAAACACAGATGACTTAAACTAAGTAAATAAAGGGCCCTTTTCACACATGCATTGGGCACATTATGCTAGACTCATAATTTTATAAACTAATACTCACTCTGTGGGTGGTGTAGTGAACATCAAACCAGCTGCCTTTACTTCCCAGGGCTTTACAGGACATCCACTTTTAGACTAGGTCACCCTGAAAGCCATTATAAGTTTAAAAAAAATCTGACTAGGTCACTCTAGAAGTATAATCAATTTAGGGGAAAAGTTGTGTGTGTGTGTGGGGGGGGGGGGGGGGCTCCTTGGATTTGGAGCTTCAGACCAGAGGCAAGCATTTAGCCACTACACCCTGCAGCTGACGACATCGATTAATTAAATAATTAATCAGTTCACCCCCTCCTGGATGCTGGTTCTACATCATGGGGGGGATTAAACAGTCTCAATCGGGACCACAGACCTACAAAGATAATCCCAGCTACCTCATTCAACACCAAATAAGTTATAATTAGGTCACCTAAAAGCTGTAACAGCCAGGTGTAACCGGCAGTCCTGTGTGCTGTGTGGGTAAGGACCTGTCTCCCGACTTAAATTAAGCAGTCAGTTAAACAGATGATTAAGTTAATTAGTCAGCGAATATGGCTAAATTGATAAGTCAGTTAAAAATGATTAAGTCAGTTAAACATGCGATTAGGTATATTGGTCAACACGTATGGCTAAGTTGAAAAGCCAGTTAAATAAATGATTAAGTTTGTTAAACAGGTGAATACATTGATAAGTCAGTTAAATAAATAAGTCACTTAAATAGATTTTTACGTAAGTAAAAAAAATGATGATTAACTTGAACAGTCAGTTAAACATTCGGTTAAGTCAGTTAAACATACGGCTAAGCCACTTAAACAAATGGCTAAGTTGATCAGTCAAATAGTCGGTAAGTTTTGTCAGATAAACAGATGACTAAGTATAATAAAATAAGTCAGTTTAACAGATTACTAATTTGTCTCTTTTTTTCTCTTTAAACAGTGTAGTTTCACAAATTCTTTTAGATATATGAAGACTTTATAATGAATCTGCCTTTTTAACTGATCTGTTCTTATTGTGTTATTACATTCTTGTAGGGTTGTGGGTCATTGGTTTGAGGGTCATTATTCCTCCCCAGGAAGATTGCTGTGTGTATGAATAATACCACAAGGATGAGAATCAGACAGGAGCAAATCCAAAAAAACGCTGTTCAACCGTATAACACAGTTATATAAGGGTGCTGGTATAGTTATGACGTAATCTGCAGTCCCTCCACTTTTGAGGTGGGATGCCAACTTCATTGTTATGGTGAACACACAAGACTAGCATACTCATAGATGTACGGTACTGAATAAAGTGTGGCTTAGAGGCTAGCGAATGTGATTAACAATTTCATGACTCTCGAGTAGTATGGTTCCTTCCCCGCGGTGGATGGGTAAAAATCCGCTCTCATGGTTTTCAGACAATTGTATGAGAGTTACACCATGGAAGAATTTGGGGCCTCACCATGTAATATTCCTAAAGAGAACAGGAATACGCTGTAGCCAACCTCCATTGTGGAGATAGTACCGAACTCGCTCACTGAATGATATGAAAATGACTTGTACATGATTACTTGTGTAAATTGTTTTTACTGACTGTGAACATTCATTTTAATTTGTTTTTGAACATTGCATTGACTTGAACATTCAGTTTGAATAATAAAAAACATGGATGAGTTCAGAGAACTAAAACAAATCTGTAATTTGTTTACTTTAATCTAATTAATTCATTAAGTAAGTACAAGGCAGTTGAATATATTGGTTAGTTGCGTATCCTTTACAGGACGTTGCAAAACCAACCCCAACAGCCCCTGGCTGTTGTCTCCTAAAAACATAAACACACTTTAAAAGATGTAATGAAAGATTGTTTCTAAAAAGAAGACTGAATTATCTAAAATTAGGAAATATATAAAAATATGTCAGTATGCTAATAGTAATCACTTTGAGTGCCATATAATTAGGTCCAGGGTAACCTCTGTTTTTTATTTCAGGAAACATGCTGACTTTTAATCAGGTTGAAGCTGCTACTGTTAGAATGTCAACTCTTTGTTAGCT